ATATATTGTAAATACTGAGCACTTACCCATACCATAGCTCTCTTATCAGAATTGTTAAGTTTGCTTCTATTTATAGTATTTATTTTATTAAAACGAGTTAATTTTCTTAGGAGTGGAATTGAGTATATAGCCTAAGAACAGCTTCATTTGGTATCTATAGCAAATCTTTATATATTGTCTCTTTGCATCTGTATTTTTGCTTATTGAATATGAATAATTATTTTCTTACTTCTGAGCTGTAACCTTTTTTTTGTTATTTTCTTCTAGGGAATAAAAATACAGGAATAATATTTGGAGCCATTTTAGGGGGAATTCTGGGTGCTTCCCTGCTTAGCCTTGTTGGCTATTTATTGTGTGGACAACGGAAAACAGATTCATTTTCCCATCGGCGACTTTATGATGACAGAAATGAACCAGGTAAAAACAGTTTTCAGACCATCACCCGTGCACAATGGCTTTAGTTAAGTGACAATGCACTGCCTATGAAAGAGTTAGGGTGTTGTATGTTAGAGAAAGACAAGATTCATTTGGAGACTTCTCCTTCACCAAAATAAAAATAATTAGTTATAATAATAATAGTAATAATTTGCATTATCTTTGTGCAACATTTAAAAAACACTTGGAATTTTTGCTCATTTTATTAAAACTTGTTTTATTTTTATTTATTTTTTTAATTTATTTTTTTCTTATTTTACATATCGATCCTAGTCCCCTCTCCCTCCCTCCCTCCCTTTCTCTCTCTCCCTCTCTCCACACCCTCCCATGCGTGTTTTCAGAATCCAAACATATCATTGAAGACAGTGATATGAAATTCTAGAAATATGCGTCTGAACTTTGCATGTAAACGGACCTAGAAAAAATTCATCCCAAGTGAGTTATACAAGAGCATGAAAAACAATTATAAGTTCCTTGATCAACCATGATCAGAAAAGAATCCTCTTGCATCATATGGGAACCAATAGAGACCCACAGGCAGACATTATGCAGAAAGTGAGACATTTTGGAACGCTCAGTCATAGTGGTGTGTCTCTACCAAATGCTTCCCCTCAGGGCTAAGGGAGCCCTATGCAAAAGGTGGGGGAAAAGTAAGAGCCAGAGGGGATAGAGAACCCTGCCCCTGCAACCAGTGCTCTCTACATGAACATGATCAGACCTCAAAGATACTGAGGCAGCATGTACCGGGTCTGCATGTCTCTGTTCTAGGCCCTGTTTATATTTTTGGCTTCCAGCTTAGTGTCTTTATGAGATTCCAGAGTATGAGAACAAGTAGGTCTCTGGTTATTGTGCCCATTTTGGGCTTTTTTCCTGTTTGTTTGTTTTGCCCAAATCCAATGTGTGTTAGTATTTGTTTTATATTATTACATTTTATTTTATTATTATCCCTTGAAAAGAAAACAAACAGTTCTGCTCTCAAACAATAATGTTAATAATAATAATAACAGCAAAAAAAACCATAAAAGAAAACAGAAATGTTGCTCTGAAGCACAGTATCTGAAAGCTTCATATGTAGAGAAATAAAGGCATTATACTTTAATTTAGAACTTTCCCACTCATATAATGTTTTTTTATTTTTATTTTTTGTTTTTTAAGTCAACGAGGCTCTAGAGATAGTTTGATGGTTTAAATATTTGCTGCCTAAGCATAACTACAAGAATTCAAATCTCTAGAACCCATGGAAACTTTTGATAAGTCAGCCTGCAGTTTCAGCCCTTGCCAGGTAGAGATGGGATTTCCCTAAACGAGGTGGCTAGTGAGCCTAGTCTTATTGGGAGGAACTGTGTTCACCTGAGGGACCATGTCTCCATGTGTGACATGCAGGTCGCTTGAAACTCCTGACATCATCTTCCAGTCTCCACATGCATTTATGCACACATGTAGACATGCATAAGTACATGTCATACACACACACACACACACACATACACACACTCACATGCACATGTACACAAGATTTAAAAGGTAGTAATAATATCTGTAATTAATATAGATACACTAAATAAAACAGAGTGTTTTATCACCATAGACATTTCACTCCTGTTTTCTGGCATGTACAAAGATTTCTGCCACCAATGCAAATAGTTACCTGACTCTAATGAGTCTACTGGTGAAGTCTCATTAAATTCTCATGAGTTCAGTTTATCATTGATATATTACACACACTGAAAATCAAATCCATTAACTGTAAGTTCAGAAGAATTCTGTTTGTAGGTTTCAACTAATCCATATAAAAAAAGTGACATGTTTCAAAGTTCAAGAGAGGATTTTTAAGTTTTCAAATACATGATTTTCAATAAGAATTTTGTCTTATGTACATAATATAAAAATCATTCTGTCAGGTTTTCCATTTTAAGTAGTTGTGACTGATGCCTAGAGCAACAGCAAGTCAACAAAGAGACCTTTTTTGATCTCCTCCATATAGTTTAGGAGACCTCTTCAAAGACCCAGAGTTCCCAGGAGACTAGTTTGCAAACAGATGGCTTAATAAATAGTCAGGCAGCATAATACTTATAGGAATAATTAGATCACTTATCTAATTAGTAATTAGTCCCTGCTTACAGTACTTTAAGATATCCAGTACATAGCAGGTATTCTCTGAAAAACATACTCCAGATCATTAAGAAAGTATTTCACTTTCCTGAAAATGAAACAAAAATCTCCTGATTCATCTATCAGTGTCCTGAGCGATACTTAGATCTGTCAGATAAGAAGGAAACATACTTTTATAAGTTTCTTTATTTCTTTGACAGGGTTGACTATCAAGGTTTCATGATAATCAGTAAATAGTAATGTTTTATTAAATGTCCTAACTTAAAAAATAATTTTTGTAACTATCTTATTGAGTTCTTTGTATATCTTTGAAATCAGCTGTCTGTCAGATGTAGGGTTGGTCATTTCTAAAGTGTTGAAAAGTCACTGTATCCTTATCTGATGAGTGAAATTATAAACTTTTCCTGAATATTTGTTTTTGCTTCTTGTGATATCCTTAAAATAAATTCAATTTCTCTAAAAAAATAATTTTTGTACCAGACATTGAAACCACAAAATTCAAATCAATCAGTTATATTTATATTTTCATGTATAAGGTATTAGTGTGCTTTGTTGATAAGCTTTGCTTTTCTTATTTTCTTAATTTTGTGTCTAATTTAGAATTTTAGAAATGCCACTGTTTTCTTATGCATGGAATAAATGTGGCATGCAAATTCTACTTATCTAACATTTCAGAAGTAATGTCTGAGAAGTGCACATAGAAGATGTATCTGTTCATCACCTAGAAGAGTTCCTATAGTTTGATAATGTAATCAGGTGGCTGAGCATTCATCATTGAGATTACCACATAAAACTACTCTGTTGATTTTACTGTTTTTTTTTTCAGTTCTGCGATTAGACAATGCACCAGAACCTTATGATGTCAATTTTGGAAATTCTAGTTATTACAACTCAGCTGTGAGTGATTCATCCATGCCAGAAGGTGGAGATAGTGTGCATGATGGCATTCCCATGGATGATATACCTCCACTTCGAACCTCAATATAACACTAGGAGAAAAATGGCTGCAGAGGACGATAGTTCACCTCCATCTTGACCTTTTAGTAAATTCACTTTTCAAGAAGTTTGGCAAATCATTGCTGTGCTACCTGCGCAGGGAGAGCTGCAAAAAGCAGGAGATGTGCAGCTGAAACAGCATGACCATCACCCAAAAGCTTTCTGTTCTTACAGTCTTCAGCTGGGCTGAAGTGTGCATTATATAATCATGCTTTGTATTCTGGTTTGTTTCTCTGGGAAAACTTTGTGGAGTAAGGCAAAAATAATATGCATCACCATGGTAACACTGACTGATAACTTAATAATAACCATTCTCCATGCAAAATCTGGGGAACAAACCTATTTTCTTTCAATATTTTGTATTTAAACAAGAAACTGGAGTTAACTCTTCACTCCTCTTGTCTGCAATTCAGGATCACAAAACAACCACTTTCTTGGGGCATGATTTGGATGGTAATTTTTTTGTTTGTTTGTTTCAAATTCAGAAATATGATATGATATGGTAGATTTTCTTTTTATTCTTAGTAATTAAGACAATAAGAATGAAAGCCTTATCATATTCTAATACATTTCAATTTTCTACAACAGCACACACATACACACGGCCATTCTCTTCAGTTGGCCAGTTTCAATGAATGCATTCAGCAAAGCCAGCAAGAAAACTGACTCTAGCCAGGAAAATGATACCTTCCCTAAAAGTTCTCAAAGTCCTTACTGCAATTCCAACTTGCATGAGTACACATCAGGTTTCAGTTAATTACACACCTTAGAATCTCAATGAGTAATATGAGTAAAAGGCTAAAGAATATACTCACATATAATTAGTATGATTTTAACTTGCTGGCTTGAAATAGAATTTGCAACACATTACATTTTTGTTCAGTCAAGTATGAATCAGTTCATCCTCTAAAGGTATGAAGCACAGGGCAAAACAAGTAAAAGCCAGGGGGTGGTGGCACAAACCTTTAATCCCAGTACTCGGGAGGCAGAGGCAGGTGGACCTCTTAAGTTCACGGCCAGCCTGGTCTACAAAGCTACACAGAGAAACCCTGTCTTGAAAAACAAAAAACAAAACAAAACAAACAAACAAACAAAAAACCAAGTAAAATTATCAAGCAAACTCATTGCCATTGTTTGTACCAGTAATAATACAAGGAACTTAATTTTGGTTTTAGTTTGTTTTTTATTAATACCCATCTTTGACAGTCTAAGCCTCCAGAGATTAGAGGATTAAATAAGAGTTAAACTCTAATGAGTAAATATATGAAGAGGGAAAACAAACAAGTACCATCTTAGAGATTTTCTTGTTGAGAAAATATGTGGTGTGATTGGCACATGTGGTGTGTGCTTATGTGTGCATGTGTGCATGCATGCTTGAGTGTAGGCATGTGTATGTAGCACTGAGATATAGTTGGAATGTCAGAGTTGAAAAATGAGTAATGAAAGAAAATACTTACCCCATATTGCCATAAAAATAGCAAAGAAGACTGTCCCTCCGTTATCAAACAAGTATGTTACCTTAATAGAAAAAATAGAAACATTAATTATACTAATTAATGATGGTACTAAAATAGAATAGAAGATATTTCTTGCATCAGGTACCATAATTTCTTCCCAGATTCTATCACAACATTGTGTAGTCTATTAATCTTTTGACCTGGGATCTTCATCAGTTCCCCAATAGTTTATGTGATTTCTTCATGGGGAAGAGATGAGGGAAACAACAGATTTTTCTTCTCTCTTCCCTCTAATTCCTTTGTACCCCAACTTCATTCTGGCTTTTACGTGTTTCTAGATCCCCAAAGAAGCCATTCATTTTATGCCATAGTCAAACACATTAATACTGTGAAACGCAAAAAGTTAGTGTCTAAGTTAAAGATTATATGGTTTGTTTCCTGTCAGCAAGTTTCCAGAATGGGGAAGTTATAGAACAAAGAGAAGAGGTAGTAAGCATGTTTCTTTAGTTGAATGCTGTCACAGTGCTATTCCTTTCATGTTTTCCAAATGTGCCATGGGTCCAGTAGTGATATACTCCTTGTAAAGAGTTCCTTCTTAAGTTGTTTTAAGAAGTTTTTCATGAATAATTAAGCACATTTTAATCAGCTATTACTCAATTAAAGCTTGATAAAATATGTAAAGTTATTCAATGTTATAGAATATAATTTTCAGGATTGCAAGGACTAATTGATTTTAATAAAATTCTGATGTAATAAAATCCAGTTTGCTGGTGCTTCTTTTAATTTGCACAACACTTTCCCCCAGAAATTAGTGAAATTAAATATTTGGCATGTAAATAAAAACCACATAAATAACAACAGTCTTCTGAATATCTGTGGAAGATATATTGCAAAGTATTCCAGAACTTCAGACTGTGCTAAACCCTGCTTGCTAAAGCTTAATGTATAAGTCTGTCACAATAAGAACACAATAGTAGCCAAAGATAGGATAGAGCAAATATAACAACATACAATAAGTCAGTTGTGAATGTGGACTTCCTCACATGTACAAAACTTAATAATACTATACTCACACTCTTCTTGTAGAAATAATGTGAGATAGTATGTCTACATGCTCAGATGAATTGAGGTGAGTGAAAGTGGCATTGTGAGGTTGCATGAGTCTAGATTTACTTAGTCACAAATACTCTGATACTAAGAACATAGGACTTTTACCCAAGGGTTATTGTATAGCTAGCAGATGGGTAGCATATACTACAAGGATATGCAAAGAGATGATTCATGTGCCAGGTAGAATAGAATGGAATGGAGTCTAAAGCCTATGAATAATTTAATACTGGATTTTTATTTAATGTTTGCAAAGTTCACTTTACCAAGGTTAAATAAAATCACAGAAAATGAAACTGTGAATATGAAGGCTATTGTACACAGGAAAATGAGCATTATCCCCCAAAGAAGATAAGGCAAATTATGAGTTAAACATCATTCTTATAAGAGAAGTTGGGGTAGAATGGCATCCACCTTGATTAGTCTATAGTCAAGAAGGCTCCTAATGAGGACATTACGATAATACTGATGTAGATTTCAATTTTAGCCTTTTAAAAACATTATGAACAATGCTTAGCTTGGTGATGGAGGACTTGTCTAGAATGCACAGGAAAGTGTCTTATCCTGCAGCACAGCACAGAAAAAATACAAAACAAACAAACAAAAAAAAAAAAAACAAAAACAAAAAACAAAACAAAACACCAAAGAGAAGCCTTGGGGACTGGGTGTAAGTACAAAGTTTTCTTAGTTAAGGCTGGAGATTTCTAAAATTATTATGTATTGCTTTTCAGAATAATCACTATGGATAGCAGAGACAAGTATCATAGAAAAATTCCCCCACAGAGCGCATAAAATTACACACATCAGGGGAAGCAGAGAGACCTGAGCTGTTTTAGTAGTTGAACAGCTGTCTGTCTCCCTCTTTAAACAAACAGTACAGGAACAGCCTCTCAGAGTGCTACAGAGTCTTTACATATGCGGACTTAAAGGTCACCAAGAAATGGAAGGGTTCCTCTTGCTTCAGACACAGCCATGCTTTTAGAAAACTGGAAGTAAAAGGCCACAGTTAACAACAACAAAAACATGCTTAGTGAATGTGATTGCTTATAGTTTATGCAGTGTTCACTTTAAAATGGTTTCCATTATCTTTTAAAAAGTTCACCAAAAAACCTCTCAGGCACATTTGAGCTCAAACTTGGTCATTAGCAGTTTAGAAACATAATTGGTTAACTAAGGTGGGTATATGTAATATTTATATAATATATATTTTCATTGTGAATTATATACATGTAACAGGAGATAGAACTAAAATAAGAACCAAGGAAGATTTCAAAATGTGCAGGAGTATAATGATGTCAAAATAATTTTCTTAGATTTACAACTTGTTTACACATCAAAGGTATCAGGATATTGGAGATCACAGAGATAAGTAATTAGCCTGTGTCTATAATCCACTTACTGATTACTTTTTGATACTGACAGAAAAAAATGCTGAGTTAAAATGGGGAATAAGAGAGAGAGAGAGAGAGAGAGAGAGAGAGAGAGAGAGAGAGAGAGAGAGAGAGAGAGCAACTGAACACACTGTGGTTTGGTCAAGATTACATCTGAGGTAATTGGAAGGAAAAATATGAGCTTTGACCTTTCTAACAGGAAAGAACATTTGCTACTTCAAAGAAAATATCAAGTTTAATTTTCAAAAAATATTTCAGACTTTTCTAAAAACAATGGATGTTTGCTCTTCCTAAGAATACATATTTTCAATGATTTGTTTTATTCAAATCAAGTTCTATTCAGATTTACGAACAACCATTTAATTTTACATTGTTGATGAGCACAGAGTAAAGTAAGAAGGGGGTTCTGTACTGGCCTAACAGTACAAATTCCCCATGGTAGTTAATGTCTGATTTTGCCTTGAACATTGAGCACGGTTAGTCGTTGATGAATGCTGGTATTATTTAAGCACATCCCCTTCCTGTGATATTGGAAACTTGAGTTTATGTCTCATTTGCTATGGCTAGTAAGTCTCTTCTAATACTTCTTAGAAAGTTTGGAACTTCATGATGTTCGGACAGTGACACACTCACAAAATCTCATCTATAACAAATGTGCAGGGATCTACTGAGCTAATCCAATCCTGTAGGCCAGGCTACCACTGTTGGCATGCTCCTAAGGGGATTGGAATTTGGTCTGAGATGCAATTATTTCTCACTTTAAATCCTCAACTCTTGGGTAGCAGATATAATGCATAATGGTCTATATTCAATATACCTAGATGAAATGTACTCAAAATGTGTAAATTTTGGTTTAGTGCTCCCCTACACAGTTGTCTTTAAATGTGTGCCTCAGAATCAAATCTCCACATGGATCTGCTCAACAGTTATATTTCCATGTGTTATCCATTGATTAAGTGATTCTAAATACCCAAAATCTTGAGCTCTGTAGTATTCTTCTTAAACAAATGTCCTCTGCAATTTTGGTGGATGATCTGGCAGACTCTTTCTTGAAATTTCTTAAAGGAAGAGCCTACTGTATCTCCTATTTCTGTAGTAGTTTTATAATCAGTATATAGCTAGAGTCACATATAAGTACTGAATAATTGTTTTCTAAAGAAATGAACTTTAATAATCAAAGTAAAAATTATGGATGAGCTTAGCTTAAAACATTGAGTTGCTTTCACAACTACATGCAATATTGAGTGCCTCTCTTTAATATTTAACCTTCAGGAAAAATCATAGAATCACATGAATTGATAGTGCAGTATTTTGTTTTTAAATGGTTGCACAAATATAACTAAATTACTTAGTTAAATATTATTTTTAATATGCACATAGGTTTATTTGAAATATGGTGGTATATACCTATAATTCTGACACTTAGGCTGAGGCAGGAGTTTCATAAATTAAAGGCCAACTTCAGCTACATAGATCCTGTCTCAAAAAAATTAAAAAAAATAATTTTTCTCTCTGAGGTCCAAATTTTGCAGAGCAACAAGCTGTAAAGTATCTATCATTGTCATGTGATATTTTAATTCACATAGTTTTTATTGCTAAAATCAAAGTAGGCAGGCAACTTAAGGAAATAATATATATATATATATATATACATACATTGTCTGTGTATGTATATATGATAAAAGTAATTTTTACATACAAACACATATGCATTTCAAAATAATATGTGGTAGTGTTTAATTTCTTCTCCCTAGTCTCAGGAATTAATAGACTCCTTACGGAACTGAAGTGACAGCTCATATTGTCTTGTGGCTAGTAATATAAATCTAGAGTTGTTAGCACATAAATGAGGATTCATTTTTCTCCATCAAATATAGAGGGAAAGTGATATCTAAAGATGTAAAACAAGTAGTTATATGTACTCTTGTATAGAGAAATGTAGCACCTAGAAAACTTCATACAATTTGTACTTATTTCTTGTGCTTTTTATGAGGCAATATTTTCTACTGATTTCTGCATAAATTCTCAAACAACTCTTGAAGTATGTATGTCTTTATGTGTATCTTCCTTATTCTTATTGACTTTTTGCAAAAGCCCCCCCCCCCCGTTTTAAACATTCTTGGACAGATTCTCTGCTTTTTAACTCTGATACGTACAGATAATTTTGTCTTTAGTGTTCATGTCTTCCCATTATTGGATTTAAAAAAATTAGAAGTAACATAAGTAACATATATCTAGACCTTTGTTATCTGTAAGGCTATTAATTTTGGAACATCTTAGCAGTTCATAACTTTATAACAGAGTGACTTGTATATATTCATATCTATCTATCTATCTATCTATCTATCATCTATCTAACTTTATTGTATCTACTTGTGTCATCTATATGTGCTACACTAGAATTATTAAAAAAAGTGATGTGAAAATACAGCTACTAAACAGGATATTCATATCTAAGTCTGTATCATCTTTGTTGGACCTTCCCAGAGAACTCAAAAGTAAGCATGTTTTTAAAGTAAACATATGAATTTCCTTAAATCTTAGTTATTCAAGATAAAAAGTAGCTAACTTTTCTAAATTTTTGGTTTGTGATAAAGTGATTAGTTATTGATATTGCATTGGACCTTGTGAAAATTAATTGTTATAGGGAACTCTACTTTTATACAAGATGGACCAACAAGGATCAATTTTACACCTATGTCTGAAACAACCAAAACAGTATAAAGGAGGCACAGCAACAGGAGAGGTGGGAAAGAAATAAGGAATTATCATTACTTGAGATTACCATTCTAAAAGAGTTCCAGGCATATAAAGAACTATGAAAATTAAAATGTTTCAATTAAATAATTTGGTGAAAACTATGCATCAAGTGTGCATGTATATAAGGAAACTACCAAAGGTCAAAGACAGAACCAAGAATGGACCAGAGTTCCCCAAGCATGTACTCTCATAAGCCATTCTAGAGTTTCTCATCATTCCTGGTACCTTAGTAGGGTACACAGGAAAGTCTTGCTTTTGTTGTAGAAGCAACAATATCTAGACAGAGCACAACAGTAGTCCAAGGTGACTATTTTGAAAGAAAAAAAGGCCCCTTCCAGACATCAAATGATTTTTAACTAACTAAACCATAATGACATGCTTCTAGACATCTACCAGAGTCTTTACAATTACAAAGATTGACACACTGATGCTAGATGTGTGGGAAACAACTCTTGGACATGACTGCAAAAGATGTGGTACATACTATAGTTTAACCAATTTGGATAATGGTGGGTGAGCCGTTTTTCAAAAGGTCATCATGTACATAGTTTGACTACTTACTTTTAAGGTAATGGGTGAAAATGTAATCTGACTCTAATGTTTCAAGTTGGGACCTTTGAGAAGTGATTAATATTATACAAATCACCAGTGGAGTCCAGTCATTGAGAAAGAATTCGTGATTATGTAAAAATGAAAGTGACCAAACAAAATCTCACCCTGCCAGTCTCACCTTGGGCCTCTCCTCTGCATTACACTGGGGCTCTGTCAGCAAGAAAACCTTTACTAGGTGATACCCTGAAATATGCTACCTCAATAATAATGAATTAAAATAACCTCTTTTCTTATATAGGTGACTTGCATCAGGCAAATCATTGTAATATATACACTGGACTAATACAGAAGTTAACAATAAAGCTATCATCTAACCTGAATATTCTATTTCTAGATAATGACCAAAGAGAAATTAAAACTGTCAGCCATAAGACTGGGAAATGAGTACTTTTAGGAGCTGTAATTAAAATGGGAAATGCTTTAATATGTAAGCAAATAACAAGCATTGATATAGAGAAAATGGAACAGTATTCAACAACAATGTGAATGTTCTGCTGCTAAATGTTACATTTTAAGATGAATTTCAAAACTGTAACAGTGTACAAGAGAAGTTATAAAAATCATACCATTTAATGTCATACATATAGACATCAAGAAACATGCATGCTTATTGTTAGTTAATGACTCATTATAATTGGTTACCTAAACAGAGGAGAAGGTAAGAAGGTATGTAGAAGCTTTTGGAGGTGACACATATGTTCATTATCTCCACTGTCATTATGTGTTTCACAGGTACATATGCATTAAGAAAATGTACTGACTTTTACTTTTCAAGTGGATCTAGTCTAGTTTATTACATACTAATTTTTCTCCCGTAGAACTTTTTGAAAATAAAAACTGATAAAACAGGTATTCTTTATATTTGTATGAATATTGTGTTTACCTAGGAACTTTTAGAAATGTTGGAATGTGATGGCATCTAGCTTTTAACCTACAGATTCCTATTTAATAGCTCTGGGATGAAGCTTGCTGTCCAGGAGTTTAAAAGTCCTTCAGGTTATCCTGATAGATAGTGGTGTGGGACTTTGGGAAATGACATTTCATGTCCTCTGTGTAGCTAAAAGTATTTTAACTTAATAAATTCGTGAAAGATAGAAATTGAATCATCGCCAAGGAAATAATTACTCTCATAAAATGAATCAGATGCAATGTCAAGTGGAGGTTTGTATCTAAGGTGTCAGTTACCAGTTATAATAACACAAGAAGAAAAAGATTAAAATAAAATATATTCTCTTTTTAATTTCAACATACTGGTTTTCTTTTTCAGTTGTCAATAACTCTAATGATTGAGGAAGATTTTAGAGATAATTAATTTTTGCAGAAAAGCTATTTCCTGGGAATCTTTTTACTATCCAAGTGTTCCAAACACTGGAGTTCATGGTAGGGACTGATTAGGCCCACACTCACCTTGGCATAGATGCAGCTGTCATTGAGTCTCTGCAATGAACAATTCTTGTCACACAGAGGGCACATGAAGACTTCAGTGGCTTTACAAATTTCTTGGCTTGAAAAATTAAAGGAGAAAGTGTGAACCACTGTCTTAGCCCTGCAGAACACACTACTTTGAACAGCAATGCAGAGAGGAACATGAGGGAATAGGAAACAATCAGGATAGAGTTAGACTATGGCTTGCTTCTATGTCAATATTTTATGATATTTGTGATAGAGAGCTTCTTATTTGTTTCTTTAATTGAAAAAAACTCTGACAAATAATATAATAACAACAGGTCATACATTTACTTTTATAATACTTTATTTTAAATAAAGGTGTTTTAATCTATGATCTCTCATGGCATACACAATTATCTTAGGCAGTAATCTCTGGAGTATTTATCAACCTCACCATTTTAGAATGGACTAATCTAGAGACATACCTGACTGTTCTGATTTCTCAAGTAGAGTGATCTGATAATCCATAGCATAGACATCAATATACAATCTTATGAAGAATGTTTTCTAAGAACTTAAGGTGTGTGTGTGTGTGTGTGTGTGTGTGTGTGTGTGTGTGTGTGTGTGGTGTGAAATTTCTTGACCGCTCTGTCAGGATAGCATAGCATTGTCTCCATGTAAATATATTTTCAATGAGGATGCAATTTTATGAAAGTATCACTTCCATTTTATGCCTACTGCCTTTAAATATTCCAGTGTATATTATAAATAGCTTTGTGATAAGAAGGAGGAATCATTAACAATTTCCTGAAAGCTTTATTTATTCAGAGTTCACAACCATCTCATTTTAGGATTTTTGTGCCTTTATGTGACACCCATGGTCATTTTTCACTTTGTATTACCCTAGTAAAATGTTTTTGAAATAACATCAGTTTTAAAATGTTGAAATGAAATTAAACCCTTTAGAAAACACTTTTTGAAAAGCAATTATTAATTTAAATTTAATTGGCAAAATTTGCAGCAAGATTTGATTCTTTTAAAAAATACATCGAGTAAACACCAAAAAAACTGTGTATTTGAATATGAAATTTTAGCCCCAATTCAAAGTGAGAATATATAGTATACAATGATATGACGTAAGCAATGATGCTTCAGGCAAGAGGAGCTGATTCCTCTTAAACTGCTTACTTTTCACCTATCTAAGGTAATGCCAATTATCTCTGCTTAGCACTGGAAGTATAAACATAAAAAAAAGGTAATGCTCAAGGTCACAGTGCTAAGAAGGGTACCTCAGGGACATGAAGAATTTGCTGATTATAGATCTAGTTTCTCAATAATTATAACATAATTGAAACTGAATCAAATTCATTTCAGATTCTATTATGATGGATTAATGCAATTAGGATGTTTACATACAGAAGGAAATCATAAAATACACATATTTAAACACCAAAAAGGAAGAGAATACAGTATCTTCTCTTAGCAATCCCAAAAATTTCAGAAGAAAAATTTACATACATTTTGAAGAAAATTTAAGCTACTATATTTTATTTACGTGTGTGTGTGTGTGTGTGTGTGTGTGTGTGTGTGTGTTTGTGTGTGTGTGTGAAGCATGCCAAAGGGTGCTTTTTGCAGTCAGAGGACACCTTGAAGGAGTTAGTTCTCGTCTATGTAGTGTGGGTTCCAGGCACCAAACTCAGGTGCCTGGGCTTGGCTGCCTTTACACAAAAAGCCCTTTCACCAGATATAAGAAATAATAATTTTTGGACAATTTTGCCCCCTCTGAAACAGGGAATTTGCATAGCATTAATTTATTTTACTTAGCACACAGAAGGAAGGAAAATTCCCCTCGTGAATTTGCTGTTTCTTTTCCAGAGCTTGATAATACATTGTCACTGAAATTGTGGCTTACTTTATTTTTGTACCTGTACTAAATTTGCATAGTAAAGACTGATTACAAAGAAATAATGACTACTACCAACTTAAAAAGGAGCAATGTACAGTCCATTTGGAGTAAGTGTTTGGACCTACCCCTCTGGTGCTCTAATACTCCTAGTATAGTGGTTCTCAACCTGTGGGTTGCAAGCCCTTTGGCAAACCTGTATCTCAAAATTACATTATTCAGTAGCAAAAATAGAGTGAAGAAGAAGCAACAAAATATTTTTGTGGTTAGGGGTCACCAAAACATGAGGAACTGTATTAAAGGGTTGCAGCATTAGGAAGATTGAGAACCACTATTAGAGATTCAGCCCACATTATAAGCAGAGGGCAGGAAATGCCTGCTGGATGATAAACACATTGTAGCATACAGGTGAACACAGACAAAGGAAAACAGATTAGACATGGTAGCATGAACAAAGCATCTGTTTTAGAATCATATGTAAACATCAAGCAACTGTAAATCAAGACCACCAATCAATGAAGACTGAATTTTATTCTTTTTATTGAGGGTTTGAGGAGGTTGCTAGGGATTGAACACAGGGCCTTCCTTGGTCACATAAATTGAGTTCTCTTCCAGTGAGATTTATCTCCAGCCTGAACTGCTAGAACATTTTATAGTAACACTGAAAATATGTATTGCTAAGGATGTGGAGATATTGAAATTTTAGTATGTTAGCGAGAATCTCAAATGCTGTTATGGGAAGTTGTAAAAGTGCTTCAAAAAGTATTTTTAAAATGTTCTTATATGATATACCATATCATACCATATGATGCTATAGCTCTATTTCTAGATATATTAAAAAAGTAATAAAACCAGGGTTTTAAAAAGGGATGTTTACTGAAAAGCATTCAATCCTCAGTTTGCATGGTACCCAAAAGCTGGGTGCCAGGTTGGCATTTCTACCTTCATTCTGTGTCTGTACCTGTTAGAAGGCACAGGGATAGACTGTTTTTTAATTGTGTTTATTTAATTACCTTGAAATTCAGGCAGAACAAAGCTTCACGGGACAAAAATCCTTTACATATCTGTGAGGGTGAGTTTGTACCATCAGAGATGAAACCTTTAACAATTTATAGTATGACCTCTTAATGCAACCATGGTGGCTCACTGATGCATGGACCTTTGGCCACAACCGTTTACTTTTTTGCACTGTAACTCTTGCTAGACCTTATGTTAGTCCTGTGAGGATAAGCTGGGTGTCACTAGATCTCTTTATCAGCTCCCCATCTTACTATGATTATCTTCTCTTTCCTTATTATTGTGTCTTTAATTGGTGAATTGAAGAAGGATAGCCATGCCTCCCATTTGGGGCTACCAGAGCCTAGGCTTTGACACTAACACTTCAGAATGCTCTTGTGTTTGTGTGATATTTTGATTAAATTTTGACAATAAAGTTTGTTTTGAATCAGAGGGTGAAGCTGACCCAAATTAGCCATAGAGGTTTTGGAGGACTTAGGACAGATAGAGAGACAAGAAGTAGTAAGGCAGGGCCTAGAGAGGTTCTCAGCCTTTTTGAAGGAAGAAATAAAAGAGGTAGGAAGTCACTGATGGCTGCTTCCCTGTTTCTCTGTTCTTTAAGTTTATTACCCTGACATCTGACTTCAGATGTTTGTTGATAAAGAATAATTAGATATAAAAACATCACTTCTGTGCTCTCATCTTCTCTGAATAATTTTTAAAATGTGTTAAATATATTTAAGCAAATTTCTATGTATCAACTAATTGATAAAAAATACTATATCTATGCTTATTGCAGAGAAGAAATTCTTTCAATATGACAACATGGATGAACTTGGAACATGTTTTAGATAGTGAAATAAGCCAATCACAGAAGTACGAACACTGAATTATTTCAATTATTTCACTTATTCAGTGTATCTAGCAGGCAACCATACATGTATGAAAGCAATCTAAATGAAATCACCAATCCTGGGGAGGCAGAGGCCCAAGTGGACAACACTTGTCACCAAATGAAGCTTCCAGGGTTGAGACTGTATTGTCGGCCAAAGCAGTCCCATTGGAACCCCTAAACAACCCAGGTGGTTGCCAAGACTATAAATTGTTCTTCACAAACTGATATTAAGTTCTGTCTCATTGCTGAATACAACCCCTACAAAACTAACAGAGCATGCAGAAGTGGAACTGGTGCCTACATAGAACTTTCATCCCTACATTCCAGCATCTCTGGTACAGAAAGGTACTCTGTGTGCTATCAAAGGAGAAAGGTAAACACCAAGCCAGCTACAAAGCCTTTGATGCACAATGGTGTCCTGCCTGCAAGATATGCTTGTGAAATAGTGACACAAAGCTTGTGGTAGTTACCAGCCAATATCTGATTTGACATGAGGCCCACTCTATGAGATGGAACACATGTCTGACAAAGATTGGATGACCAAGAATCTGAGACTAGATGGCCCATGGAAAAAATACTCACTTTCTAAAAAAGAAAATAAAAAGTAGCAGCAAAATAACTCCCAATGTCATTCTGCTATATTCATAGATCAATGTCTTGCTCAGCCATCATCAGAGGTTTCTTCCTACAGCAGATGGGAACAAATACAGAGACCCACAGCCAGACATTATGCAGAGATACCAAACCTATCATCAAATCTCTCCCCTCGGGGGCTCTCTGAGAACCCATTGGAAAGAGGAGAAGCAGGACTGGAGTTGTTGAGGGAATAGAGGTCACCAAGAAACAAGTCTTTCTAGATCAACAGGATCAATCTTGTGCCCTGGTCTCTTTTCCTTTTTCCTTTCTTTTTGTTTGTTTTGTTTCATCCTATTCCAATGTGTTTGTGTTTGTTCTATTTTTATTATATTAAAATGCATTATCCCTTAGAAGCCTGTTTATTTTCTAATGTGAGGCAAAAAGTGGGTGGCCCAGAAGAAATGGAGGAGAGGAGGAAGTGGGAGGAGTGGAGGGAGGTGAAATCACATTGCATCAGGAAAAAAAAAACAATTTTATAATAAGAGGCAAAGATGAAAACAAAAACACAAACAAGAAAAGAATGTGACTGTATTTTGGTTGTCAGTTTCTGGCAGATCCATAATAAACAGGCCCATATCTCCAGCTTTCTATCATTTCACTACTTTGTAACAAACAAAAAGGAGCTTAACAAGATAGTAAGATGAACCAACACAAAACAAAACAGCCTTGTCCCTGCCTGTCCACCAAGATAACAGCCAAGACCCAACCATGTCTGGCGCCCTGAATGGAAACTTTTAGTCTCAAAAATTTCAAAGTCAAGATATTCAGTGCTTCTTATCTTGGTTTAGAATAGAAAGTCTGACAAGATCTTAATTATAGTGTGAATGCCGTGGTGAAAGCACATAACCGAAGAGTTTGTTAATGATTTTTAAAATGCTCCTTGTACTAAAGGTTAAAGAATGTGTACACCAAAGACACCTTCCACGGTAAAAAATCAATAGGGATAGTAAATTTCTTACTTTTGTGCATTTTCATGTTTGTTTTGATGGAGGGAGGTGTTTATATCTCATAGTAAGGCTATATGAAGTGTTGAAATTATGAGAATATTCCCTATGGACCCAATCTGAGCAGCAACTATTGAGAGATCATTCCTCATATTTAATTTTTATTGAAAATGGATTATTTCTCAGAGAACATATCCTGATTATAATTTCCTCTCCTCCACTCTCTCCCAGTTCCTCCCCACCTCCCCTCCCTTTTGGAACATCCCCTTTCTATCATTAGAAAAGAACCTGATTCTATTTGTTCATACATGGTGAAAGAACAGCCTTATTTATTTATTATTATTATTATTTTCGGACACTTTAACTTTAAGTCTCAGCCTGTCCTCTGAGCCAAGAGATCCCTTACTGGATAGTATATGGGAATCCCCCCCCACCCCCCATACATCAAAGAATCAGAGAAGGAGGGAGTTCTTAAAGCTGAGGTTTATAGAGGATGATGTTGCCTCTTAGCATCACAGTAATTCTGAAAAATCCTGAAACAAACCTGTTTGGATCATATGGCTTTGGTTTACAGTGATTGCTTTGAAAAACAAGGGAATTTAGAGTTTTCAAATCAAAGAATTTGGTTATACAACTCAAATGCAATGCAGATATTTTTCCAAGCAAAAATATTATACATATTTTAATATTTTAGAGAAAAATACCAGGAAATTGGTATCTATGATACTATATATAATATTATGTTGTTAATATGTACTTCCTAGTAGCCAAGTCATTACAAAAAGTTTAGCAAAAGGAGAACACAATGTTGAGTTTTGGCAAGATTTTTAAAAAATTGTTTAAATATTTTATGTGTATGTACATGATCCTGAGGGTGTGTGTGTGCCATGTGTGTAGGCATGTTTAAAGGCTAGAAGAAGATCAGATCCATTTTAGCTGGAGTTATGGGTGACACAACCAAACCAGGTCTTCTGCAAAGACAAGGCTCTTAACTGCTGAGCCCCAGCAGGGAATTCTTTGTGTTTTGAACTTGATTATATAAAGTAAAATTGAGTGTGTTGAATAGTGTTATTCTCACTCAACACTTTTGTTGAGAAATAATGCTATATTTGTAAGAATAATTCTTGCCTATTTCTAATTTATGCCACTCTATTTTAAAAGTATAATCACAATTTTAATATATGATATTGGCTTTTGTTAAATTCTAGTTTTTGATATTTTTAGATTATATAATACATACTGGAAAAAGAAATTTATCAAAGAGATAAGAACTCTTGGGACACATTAAAAAGAATTTGCCAATCAGGAGGCAGAGGGAGGAGGATCTTAGTGAGTTTGAAGCCAACCTGCCTACAGAGCTAGTTCCAGGACAGACTCCAAAGCAATACAGAGAAACCCTGTCTCAAATAAAACAAACAAGCAAACCAACAAACAAAAAACAAAAAAAAGAACAAAAAAGAATTTGCATATAAAACCATAAAAATTACATTTTAACAGCACTCTATTATACTAAAAACAAAACAAAACTCACATATGCAGCACTGCTATTATTTACTTTCACCATCATTGGCATTTGTAATTTCAGAAAGAAGGACAAATATTTTGGACAATCTCTTCATAGCTCACCTTACTTGACTTTCATTCATTGTAACTAATCCGTAGAAGAAAACACACAGGCCAACAACTGCGGCAGGAATCAGCATTCCAGTATACCATCCCAGCCAGGCAAAGTATAAACCAATCTTCTCACCAAAGTATAGCCTGCACAAGAAAGCCAATCTTCAGTTTGAATGAATGCAATATAAATGACCCAACAATCCCAAATACCATAACTAGTGACAATTTCAGTTGGAAGCTGAGACCTCTAGCTTATGTACTTGTCAGCAATAGTGTATCTGACCCTTATGGCTGTTAATGACTATCATAATGGCCATGATATGTTTCTGTAAACTTTCAACAATACCTATTGCTTGTCCAACTTTCTTAAAATACTTTTCATAACCCAAAACTAGTACTTCTCCCTCCTCCTAATAGTGAACATTTTTAGTCTCTCTTTAGTTTCTAACAGAGCAATGTTTTCTTGAGAATAAATGAAAAGGAAAAAGAAAAAATTCAGTTGGCCATCTGATTGGATTCTCAGTGCAGGGTAGATATGTCTCCACTTGAGCCTCTGATCAGATGTGCCTATGCTATACATCTCATCTTCTTCCACTAAAGCTCTATTGTTTGTCTGAAGCACATTTCCTTTGATTATCACAGGCCTCTAACTAAAACAAAAGTTTCCCTCTTCCTGTAACTGGTAGTTGCTCTTTTTTCATATTGTTTCTTCCAGGGAGCCTTTCTCTCTAATCCACGTTAAGATATTTTGCTCTTGTTCCCACACTGCCCTAATCCATGCTCCAATTAGTGTCATCAGTCATAGCTCTTCTTAATCCTCAGTTATGTGTTACCTCCAAAATATTTAAGCGTCTTGAAGGTAGAGTTGCTCATTGGTTCACTAGCAGCCACTATTAAAAAAGTAAAATAAGCTAAAGAAATTCATACACTTTTCAGTTGATATGGAAGTAGCAAATTAATGAGGCAGTTCAAAGATCTACTTAATTCCTTTATTCACTTCAATGTTGGTTTTTTGTAGGTCCATAATTTATAAAGGGCTGATAACAATAATTTTACATTCCCTGACTTCCTTACTACTTTAAGGTCTCCATTTTCTAAAACCAATTATATAACATACCCCTGCCTGCAGCTAGCTACATTGTTGTAAACTGATGCTTCTCAGTGATTGTTGCTGGGGATAAAATTCAATTATTATTTCTTATTAACAAGGCTTCGCTTTCTGCTTGTGAACAAGTGGATATCTTTAAAGTAGCTACAGGGACCTATCTGCTCATAACACACTAATATATTAATCTGCATTTTGTTGAAGTTAATAGAAACAATATTATCAGGCTAGAATATGATCTGAGTCAAAGCAGGTTTCAGTGTGTGTCAGGAGATGGAGAAGCTAGCTGCAGACAAAGAATAGCTCAAAATGACCTTGCCCAAGAACACTGACATTGACAACTATCTATAATATTTAATTATTCCTTAGCAGAACAACACAATCCCACAGCAGAAAAAGAACCAAAGGATACTTCGCAGCAGTTTCCCATGACTGCTCAATCAAGGCTATCTGCTTTGTCTGTTTTATGTAAAGTTCCCCTTGCGATATTTCAGTTGATCTGTCCCTTGCTAAACAATTTCTATGTCAAAATAAACTGTGGTATCTATCGTTTTAGAAATAGTCACTTAATTCAACAACATTTTTTTTATTGAAATCCCTGATACCTATTGTTAAAATTGTTTGAAATGTCATACCACTGCTTTTGCAATTGATGATTTTTTTAAAGCACTCCTTTGGATTTCAAATAGATTCCATGGGAAATTTGGTTGAAACTAAATAAGCTTTGGCTACTAAGTATTTGAATCAATTTTAAATTGAGAAAACTATATAAACACATCTCCAGAAATGATTGTTCATTTTTTTTTTTAAAAAAAAGGTAAGTTGAAAGCCTTTGGCTCATATATCACACCAAGGCATTTGCTTACTGAACATGACAATGCCAGATTTTCCTGTGTGAATCCCATTAGCTATGATCAAAAGAACCCAGCTGTCACATACCATCCTACGTAAAGACCCATGACCAGCTAAACTACAAACAGTTAAAAGTTCTGGAAAATTGTGCCTTGTACAAAATAAATGCATAGGCTTAAGTGTGTTAACCTGAATAGCCTCCACATTACTTCTTCAGTTTCAGTTTTAACTAAGTTGCTAGGAAATGCAGTCCATTGAGATGTCACGTGTACTCGTTAATTACATACCCTCTTCTGGTGGATGTCTCATGACACATCATTGCTTATTCACTTTAACACATGCTTTCATGAGAAAATTACCCATCTCCATGAGTAATCAAACAATAGTAGCTGAATAACTCTGCATGTTACTAATAGGGACCCCATTTATTTATATAGCATCATAGCTCAGTTTACCTGGAACAATAATAGCAATGATGATTGTAGATAGGAATAGTAATTCACGCTGAAATGCTACTCAGAAACCATCATCTGAGTTCCTAGTAAATATTTTTGAGCCAGCACATCTCACCCTATTGTGTCTATCCATCTCCAAAACAATTATCCCTTTACCTTTATAAATTAGAATAATGAAATTTGTCATGGTTGACAGAATAAGAGTCAAAGTATCTTGATTTTGCATATACTCAGCTACTAATATTTGCTGCGTATTCATCCTGTGTATCTCCAAGTGCTTACTCCACTTACTACCCTGTGACCCACAGAGTTCACCTCTATGGATCCTTATCCATTTGCTTTTTTAAAACTTCTGGTTTCTAGACAGGCTTGATGATTTCATGACATATATGGTAGATGACTTCCTTTCTCTTGTGTCACGGTTGTCTACAACTGCTTTCTTCCCTCAGGTCACAGCTTGTATCTGGCACTTCCTTCTGTGGTTAGTCATTAGATGGTCCTGGCAAGTCTTACCTCCTCTTGTGTCTTTAAGGTAAGGTTTAATAATTGCCTCTAGTTTTACTAGTCCCTGAGCATACTATTGTATTGGTTTCCATGATACCACATCCCGATGCTGTGCATACTGTTTTACTGATTTCTCTTCAAGTACCCCTTCAGTAATCTGCTTCCAATGACACACTGACTGATGTTTTGTCAGCTATTCTTTATATTCTATAAACAGATAAAAATATCCACACATATAGCCTAATAATATATAAATGTTTTTCTTTTATCTTATAGATAGTCATCATTAGCTAGGGAATCAGGATAGCATTAACATATTTCATGTTTTTTATATGAACAATGTTTTCTTCAACAAAATAAAATATGTCAGCCACAAATATAAGTATTCCAAAAGTAAAACTGAATTCTTCCATGGTGATGCATGTCTTTTATTCTAGCATAGGCAGGCAGATCTCTGTCAGTTCGACTTTAACCTGGTTTACACAGTAAGTTCCAGGGATACACAGTAAGACACCATCTCAAAATAAATAGATGATAGATAGATAGACCGTCAGACAGAGAGATGACAAAGTTAAGAGCAACTACCTACTAGAAAGTGCTCATTGAAATAGAGAAAAACCTTTTTCAAAGAGAAATGTAGCCAGTCCTGTGTATTATCAAGTTCTTCATGTACAAATGCAACTATTCATCCATCAAAGTTGTGTCTGTACTAAACACGCAAGGTCTATTTTACTTGCCATTCATCTCTAAAGATACAGCATATCAACTATTTCCCTAACATTTACATTATATTAGTTATTATAAAAACTTTAGGGATGATTGAAAGTATGCTAAAGTATTTGTGTAGATTATGTGCAAACAAACACCATATAACAGGAACATTGGCACTGTGGAGTGTGCCTCCTGAGAAGAGTTTCTGGAAGCAGTTTCAGAATCCCTTGTGAATACTGATAGGATACCACATATGCACAGGTGATGTGTTGGCTGTTTTCCTATATGCCCTTATATTTGTTGAGTACTTCCTTGTTTTTTGTTTGTTTGTTTTTGTTTTTACAAGGGAGTCAGTTGTTCTAGCTCCATTGTAAAATGCTTACCATGAAGCTGGGCAAAGAGATACTGGAAGTCTTGGAGGTAGGAAGAACAAGCAAACAACCTAGGATCGTTTTCTTTGCCCCAGCATCTGGTACTTTGGGTTCGTAATACACATGTTGCCATTTCCCCTTTACCCTTAAGAAGGGTAGTTACTTCCTGCTGTTACCAATCTCTGATTGACTTAAAGACTCTTTTATTAGCTTTCGAATTGGTTTCAAATAACCAACTCCATGAATTAAATGCCTTCCATTGAAAAGTCAGGTAGTGTTTTTGTTTATGCTTTTCTGCAGAGAGTTTCCAAACTGAAATAGCTGTGCTAAGAAATAATTCCAAGAAATAATTCCAAGCAAACAAAAGAACAGTTTGCTACTTAATACCGACTAGTCCATCTGTAGTACCTGATTAAGTCCAGAGGCTGATGCTTGTACCACATTCCCCAGCGTGCCCAGCGCTCATACAACAGATGCCTGTTATTCTGAGGTCCATGGGTTTTGATGGGCAGGCTACTCTTATAGGCTCCCTGAGACAAATAAAACAACATAAGTTGGAGTCCAGTTTCTTATTAAAGTTTGAACTGAATAAGGACTAATGAATTCCTAACAAGGTAATTTATCAACATATAAAATAATTAAAGATTATATACTCAAGCCCACCACTGGAATAGTAAATGCCATTACCATTTGATAGCTTTATGAAAATGATGTTTTAAATAATTTTTAAATAATTGGGACCCTTTTACTTAAGTAAATGAGACTTATATTTCACTGGAACTCAGGGTCTTTTCATTAAAAATGACAAAAATATTTTAATCTTCAATTGAGAAATTGAGTACCATTTTTCTTTAAGAAGAGCAATGCCAAAATTCCCAAATATTGTCTATAAATGTTTGTTTTCATTTAAATGGACTTGGTTATATAAAATAAATAAATAAAAATTAAAAAAAAAAGATTGCCTAACGAGCAAAAGTACACAATAAAAGTCACAAAAATAATATATTAAAAAAAGAAGTGAGCTAGACACAGAAACGTTTTCTTTTACTTATAGAATAAACATTTGCTAAAAAAACAGCACAGGATCATAACCCTTAGAGCCACCTATTTGCTAGATCCCATGGTCCTAAAAGTTTACTAATGATATTCTAAATTTAAGCAGTTAAAACATAGCATTTTCTTTCAAATGGGCTTCATGTGGTTGAAGGTTTTCTAATCAGTATTACAGATTATTTATTAAGTTTCTTGATGTCTTGAGCTCTGGTTTGCAAGTGCTTTGAGGCTCCAATGGTATAAGTTCATACCACCTCTGACTCTTTAATAAAATAGAAAATTAGGGGAAAGGTGATACACATTCAAAGTGCAAGCCCAGGGTGTCCTCTTTAAATGCCCAAGTATTTAAATCCTAATAATTGGGAGCTAAAGAGAAGAATGAAAAACCATACTGATTGCAGGTGCAGAACATCTCCTGGGGTTACTATTTGCTCTTGAACCTAGATTGCTGCCTATCTGATACTTATAGAAAGGACGAATAGCAAAATTGTCACTATTTTGCAGTCACTGCTAATAGATCTAACACATGGTATTCAACCAGTTTTAGTGGTTAGATCATATACACTTCTAGAAGCTAAAATTTAGTGTACCAACGTTTGCCACTGTGCAACCTACACTTAACACCAATTACTACACTGCTCTAGCCTGACAGTGACAAGTGGTGGGCTGCACGGGAGAGCTGACTGAAAAGATAACTCTAAATGACTCATGCACTTGTGAGGCGTTCTGAAGGCTCAAACATTGTCAATCGCCCCTAATAACAATTTTAATTGATAGTCCTTCATGATCCATCTGTGACTTAGACTGTTTTCTCATACATGTGTACCTCTGGCCAATTGGTTTTCCTCTTCCTGCTCATTTTCACTAAAATGATTTGTCATGCTCCTCTAGCTATTCCTGTTTTTGTAAGGAAAAAAAAAAACCCTCACAACTAGGAAGAAAACTTATGAGACTGGACATAATATCCAGCATCAATAAAAAAGGATTTTAAAGTAACATTGTCAGACTATAGATTATTTGCATTGACTTTATTTTCTTCTTTGTAAATTTTGCTTTTCTTCCATGAGTAGGTAGCAATTCAAATCAATAGGCAACTCCTGAGCCCATTTCATTGTTTCTCAATTTTCTTTTACATATTTATAGTTCAACAATGGGATTTCTTATTCCTTTTGCATATTTGTGCCACATATTTATATATCAAATAATTTATATACTTAAATTAAAAAGACGATCATCAACAGCCAGCTTTGACAGCTGACAAATTTCCCACGAGAAACTCAAGTGAGCTGTCAGTGCACAAGCTAATTATGCTGAGAAAATTACTGTGCACAAGAGAATAAACCAAACCTTACTTTGTAAAATGACTCCCTTAGCTATGCCTCTCTGATCACTTTAGCTTACCACTTTCTATGAAGTATTTGAAATGATGTTTAATTTTTATAAGCTCTATTCCTATATATCCTAAGAGAAAACTATGTTTACTTTCTTCTGTGCAGTCACAATCACAAACCTGTGCTGGCTGAGCACATGAACTATACAAAAAAATCGCTCATAATTATTAGTCATATATATTTAGTGTAAGTGGGAATTACATGAAGATCATTAACATTTCTTATGCTTATAACTGCCTTTGAAATTTTACCTTCTTGTAACTGCATTGTACATGTTTATAATGGAAGTAATATTATTGTCAGTAACTAAGGGTTGTTTCAAGTGAGAGATACTCCATACCAAACATTTAACTCATTGACAAATACATTTACAATTCATTTTATCTGCTGCAAATTCCTCATATGCTCTAACTTTTGTGTTCATTGCATTAAGTTTGTAAATCAAAGAGTAATGGTACAGAAGTGAAACCTATATTTTATTTAAAATGTGACACAAGTTAAAAAGATAAACCTAGAGTGTCTATAGCAGAGGCCAAAGAGAAGTTCAACAGATGCTAATTTAGTTGGTCAGAGTCATTGACAGCTTCTAGTTAAAACTTGCAGCAAGGCTGTCAGCCTGGAAGTGAGGTAGGTAATACACAGAGGATTTGATTGTGGTCTTGTTTTTGACTTTCAGACATTTTACAACACAAGCCAGGAACCTGCCTTATTTGGAAGGGTTGTAAATTTCAAGCAGGAGGAAGCATTGTTTGTTGTGACAAAACAGAGGAAGGCTAGAATGTTAGGCTATTCTGGTGGGAGGCTTGGGTTCCTCCCCATAGGACAAACTTTAGATATATTTTGGGGGTTGATGGGCTACTGTGAAACTAACAGATGGTAAAAGGGTCTCAGAGGACGATTCTAGGTGTGGACACTCACATATAAATGAATGAATTTTTTTAGACACTATGATGGTTTTAGTGATAAATGGTCTCTGATGGTTTCAGGCATTTGAAAACTTGGTCCTCAGCTGAGTAAGTTGATTGGGGAGGTTTAGGAAGTGGAGCCAGGAGAGGAAGCAAGCACTATCCACAGGGTTTGAGAGTTTATGGTGTCATCCTAGTTCCTATCTCTGCTTGGGTCAAGACCATGATAGACGAAACAACAGAGCTAGTTGACCTGAGCTACAGCTACATAGACTATGGACTGACAGCTGGGAAAATTGCATGGGAACAAACTAGGCCCATGAATATGTGTGACAGTTGTGTGACATGAAAAATTAATTTTGGGGGAGGTGCACTAGCAGTGGCATCAGGACCTACCCCAGGGGCATGAAGTGGCTTTTGGAGCCCACTCCTTATGATGGGATACCATGCTCAAACTTGATAAAAGGGTGCAAGGGCTTTGTCCTTCCTCAACTTGATATGTCACTTCCTTGATTCCCCCAAGGAAGGCCTTATCCCTTCAGAGGAGTGGGGGGGGGGATAGGGAGGGAGGTGGGAGAAGGGGAGAGAGGGGGAACTGGATTGGTATGTAAAGTGAAAAATAATTTTTTTTTAAAATAAAGGAGTGAGTTCTAAGCTTGGCTCTCCACCCATCATTTCTGCAGCTTGCTGCCATGCTGCTCCCCTCATGGATTCTAACCCTGTAGAAACCCAAGTCTAAATAACCCATTTTTTCCATAAATTACTTGTTATGGTGTTTAATCCCAGCAACAAAAAAGTGAACAACACTGTCTCATAGAATGAAACTATTTTATTTTTATTAAATGGAAAAGATCTTTCAAAATTACCTCATGTGGAGGGAAAGCTGCTATGTAGGAACCATTATTTATAAGCTTGCGAATACCTAAGGAGAACAACAACAACAACAAAAAAATCTGAGTCAATTTCAACGAAGGCTTTTCCTGAAATCATATGTAAAAGCGCAATGAACACAGTATTATTTTAAGACAGTGATGAATCAAATGATTTCCATATCCAGGTCAACTACAGGGACAGTATTTCTGAGCACGACATTGGTACTCAGATAGGTCTGTCATTAATGCTATATGCAAGATATGGTATTGTTTTTGTCTAGCACTCTTTGAATATAACAATGTTTACTCAAATTAGAACTTTCTGCTCCCAGCATTTGACAGGAAAGATGGTGGCTTTGAGAAACTTTTATTTTGCTAAACTGAAAAACATAAAATGTCACACTCAGATTTGTCATCTCAGTGAAGATATTACATGGTTTTCATTTGAGAATGAACAATGAGAAAAACTTTCTGGAGATGTTTAGTTGTAATGTTATTTATTAACATTAATGAAATATTTGTAAACCTGAAAGATGGAATCCTTTGTGCAAACACAATTACATAAGGTGCTCATTAAGTAATTGAAATTTAATGAGTGCATATATTAGACTGTTCTACAGGAATTTGCAATGCCATTTTCATGTGATACACAATGGCTTGAGAAAATTGTTTTTAAAAAGCAAAAAATGCATATCTATATTTTGAAATAATGCATTTTTTACCATTTTTCGATAAATTCATCACTGTGGCTAAGAATACTTTTTGCTTTATTTTAGCTCTCCTGTTTTTAGCATATTTTCCACCAAGGGCATGATACCTTCATAGTCATTTAAAATGTCTTTTAAATATACAAATACAATTTCCTATCACATAGAAAAAATTTCAGCTCATATTCTGGATATTTTATTTTTGTTTCATTATTATTATTATTTAGTTTTCTAATTTTATATATCAATCCCAGTTCCCTCTCCTTCCTTCCTTCCTTCCCTCCTTCCCTCCTTTCTCCCACTCTTCATGCCCCCACAAACCACCCTTCCATCCCATCCACCCCTACTCCATAGGGAGGGTGATGCCTTTCAGGAGGGGTCAACAAAATCTGTCAAGTCATTTGGAGTAGGGACTAGGCCCTCCCTCCTGCCTCTAGGTTAAGGGAGTATCTCTCCATGGGTATCTAAATATTCTCATTGTTTTGGGTGAAGTTTTAGTGTCTAAGGTAATTATTCGATTGCTCAGTCACAAATGAATTGTTAGTCAGAAATAAATTTGGCCTGATGATTCTTCTTGCCATAGTAAATATCAAACACAACTCTTTTTTTTTTTTTTTTTAATCAGTGTTGTTTTCCATCCTAGCACAATCAGGAAAGATTGTGATAGATACCATGGGCTGTCAATTTTTAAATTCAAACAATTTAAAGCATTTGGCTAACACTTATTTCTTCATTGCTGCAATTTAGACTCACAATTAAAAGGTCAATTTATATGTTAGTTTTGTTTTCAATTTTGTGTGAGGTTTGCAATTTTATTTATCTCATTCTGGTTGCTAATATCTCAATTTTCTTTTGTATTTCATATGTATCAAACTGTTAACCACATCAAATGCTATAAAATTTCAAAATTTAATATGTTAAAATAAGTGACCACTTAATATTCCAGAAATAATCTCATTAGGTTATTTACATATTCTTCTATATTTTCATTTATTTTTATATCTGTCTATTAATAAAATGGAATCACACTAGCCCAATAATTTTGTAATTTCCTTTTCTTAGTGAATCATGAAGAGCTTCCAAAACTAGTTATAGCTAGGAACTAATATTAATCTCAGAATATAAACTCTGTGTCATAAACTATTTACATATAGTACACAAGAAATAAAATTATGGGTATATATTTACAGATAGAGGGTCTGGAAATTATATTGATAAAGAGAAAATAAATAGGTTTTAATGGGTGGTTGTAACACATTTGGTACTTTTAATTTTTTTATTATAATGCCATGCTGATCTCTTTCTACACATATTTTCATTAAAAAAAATTTGTAGTTTAGGCTACATTTTTTTCTTGAGTGTTTGTATTCTTCACATTTCGATACAGTGGCCCAAATGCCCTCAAAAATACTTTTATGAAAAGTAGCAACACAAAATATTCATAGAAATTGTGTGTAATGTGTTAAGTAATTCATTAGCAACTGAAAGTAAAAACCTTCATTTCTTATGAAACTCTAACTCTATATATAGCTTTTTTATATTTTTTAAGTATGTCTGTGAAATGATGTTCTTACCCACTTTTGATATTCCATTTTCATATTTGGTGCGTTCCAGCATGTGATAAACTATTCTGCTTCGAGTAGCATTGCTGAAGAAGGTGTCCTTATTGTTTATTATGAAGCTGTTAAGATGAAGGGATTTGCTTTAATATATTCAGAGCAGATCACAAAAATCTAGTCAGAATTATAAGTCCCTGGGTAACCACCCATCTGTCTCTATAATTAAAGACAATGCATGTAAAATATTCTAGGATGAGAGAGAAGTAAGTCCTCCTCTTTGACAAAAATAAACTGACAGTTAAAAATAAGTACTTATAGAAAATGCAGAGATGATCAAATGTTCTTTTCAGCATCTTCATTCAGCTTGTAAAGAATCCTCAGTATTCTCTTAGGTCTTGTTTATCATAGAGTAAGAAGAAATTAACCATTTGCTGGCTGGTGTTTGTACTTACACCTCAAACAATGTGCTCCAGATAGACTTCATTAAAAATTGAAATTATCTCCCATGCAACACATTCCATTCTATCTTACCCAGCTTTCAGAGTTTAGTGATGTCCTATAATTTTGTTTTTTCTTCTATATCCTTGATACCCTAAAATGCTCCTTTGTGGAAAGAATAGCAAGGAGTCCTTTGATGTGGATGATATGGAAAGCAAAGGGGGCCTCACAAGGAAATGATGAATCTGTTTAAATGTTTTCTTTCTAAATCTAAATCTTTCTAAGTCTTCAAGCAGTGGAATTAACTGGATCTTACTGGACTGGTGATACTTCCTGCTTCTATGCACTTTATCTCTGTGAGTAACGAACCATAGTTCTGTCGGACATTTCATCCGGGGTATTAATTATTCTATCCCTTACTTCCTCCTCATCCTTCTCACATATCCAAAGAGTTACCAAGCTAAGTAACTTTCCTGTTGAACAACTGCCTCCATGGCACTGCTACCCTTTTCCTGTGTGTCCTTGCTCCTGGTCTAGACTGTGAGACTATTGTCTTCTTAACATGTTTTACCCAGCCTTGTTTATTTCAATCAGTACAGCAAGTAGTTCTTAGGCAGGTAGTATTAGTTTTGCAGGAGGTTGTATTATGGGGGAATTAAGCAGGTGACATAATCAACAAGTGAATAAATAAATAAATCCCGACTGGTTTCTGTGGTGAACATGTAATAGTGTAACAATGTTATCCCGACTGGTTTCTGTGGTGAACATGTAATAGTGTAACAATGTAGTGAGTGACCGGGGGAAGGGACAATAGCAAGAATTTTATGATGATTTTTCCTTAGATACTTAATAGAGGCAAACTGGTGGGAAGAAAAATACCCTGCAAAGCTCAGGGCCAGGATAGCCCAGATGAAGTGAAAAGTGGTAAAGATTCAGCTTGAGTTTCACTAGACCTGCTGAGTGAGTCTTGTGAGGTTGCACTGTTAATGGTAGGATGCCTGAAGGAGGCAGAGTGAGGGGTCCACAGGCACCACAGCAGGGCAGCCTAGACTAAAAATAATTAAAACTTGAATTGTATGAGTACAAATGGGATGCTAGTTGGGAGGTATAAACCAGATGTTTCATGGTATCAGTGTTCTTCAAAGACTGAGCTGGGTCCTCGAGTTTTCAAAGGACGAGAAGAACATTTTGAGAAGTAGAAACTCTAACTGATTTTTGGCTGTGGTATAGATTGGTTCTATAATTCTTTCAACTACTATATCTCAGAATAAATTTCATCCAGACATCTAGAATGCCATCTGTCCACAGGCTTGGTCCTATTCTAAATTGCATATTTTACTACAATATTTTGTAAATATTCTATATTTCTCTATCTCCATGTTTGCCTTATTTTATTTAGCTTTAGAATTCCATTCTTGCCTATGGTATTTGACTAGGAGGACCATGAAGCAGAACATATGCCATAACAAACCTTATAATTCAATTAATGCCCGTCAGTCACTCAATAAATTCCAGTAGAGTGAAAGCATGGACAAATAAATAGATATGAAAGAAGTAAGAAGAAACGAATAGGTTTGACACAGAGGGAAAGAGAAAGACAAGAAAGTTAGAGTGACATAGCCTTCTCTAATGAAATTCTCAAGATTAAACAAAGCCACTTAAATAGTAAATGTATTTTAAAGTAAAATTATAGTTCCAATAATTCATTAACTAATATTAGTGTTAGGAACAATCCTATTATTATTACCATTATTATTTTAAATGACTTATCTTCTATCATATAATTTTTAAAAGAATATTTTACTGTGCATATGTTTTCTTGCACGCATGTATCTATACCACACATGTGCCTGGTACCTGAAGAAGCCAGTGGTGTTGTTGAATCCTTTGTAACTGGAGTCACAGGCAGTCATAAGCCACCATGTGTGCGCTGTGGATCACCTGTAACTGGAGTTACAGGTGTGAGCCTCCACATGTGTGCCAGAAACTCCTCTATGAGTGTACCCGTGTTTGAATGTCTGAGCCATCTCTGCAGCCCACATAGTTATTACTTCAAAGGAATATTTAGGTTACCAGCCTATATATTAGCATTTAATTATTACTTGACTATCTCTGAATCATGAAATTAATATAGAAGTAAATGCTCATATAGTGTTGTTCCTAAGTTAAATATAAACTCTAATACACTGATACATTCTTGACCTAGTTGGTGACCAATGGGAATATCCTCAGTTATTTTTCTTCTGTAACCCAGCTGGGGGTAAGGGAAATTACAATGCCAGGACACAAGGAAGAAGAGATGAGCACTCACTGGTGAATCCGTGCTCTGCTGAAAGGGCCGGTGTAGCAGTCCGACTCCTCCAACTCTGGGAACGCTGACTTGTCTAGAACCATTGGGTTTTGGGACACCCACTTTTTGATTCTTTTGAAATAGTTTTGCACCCTAGAACAAAGTTAAATTCCAGAACTAGATACGGTTATTTTCAAGAGCCATGATAGAGGATAGTTTCCTGTGACAGTTTTTTTAAGTATTAGCGAAAAAAGATTCCAGACACTCCCCTTCTCTTTCCTATGTCTCTTTCTCACTCTTCCCCCCCCTCTCTCTCTCACACACACACACACGTACACACATACACCTATACCTACATCACACACATACACATTATCCACACATATGTACTCAAATATTCACACATACACTTTTCTATTTTCTTACGGAATAAATAGTAAAAAAAAGTCCTGATTTATTTAGACATATCAGAGAAATAATATCTCCATAGAAAATACCTTGCATGAAGATGGCTTAAGGAAGGAACATTTTAAAAGGCAGCACAATATATTTTTACATAATGTATAGGCAAATGTAAATTACTCTCTGGTTCTTTAAAAAAGTGTGAAAAATTTCATGTAAATGAATAGTATATTTGTATTTTAATTAGAATAATTCCCATAATTTTCCTTTACAAACTTAAAAAAAAATAAAGCCAACAAAAGACTGACCTTCAGCATTGATTCTGAAAATCTAAATTCTGTTACTATAACAACAGCTGTTTTCATTTAAAAACACTATGCAGTTAATGTCTCCACAGTGCTCATGGTATGCTGCTGAAATACAGAAGTCAAAATAGCAGGACAGAATATCTCTAGATGCAAATGCAGTGTGTCTTAATGTGGATTTGCTAGGTTTTTGGACTTAAGAAAAAAAATTAAGAAAGCAATGGGCAGATATCAAATACTGTATCTTAAGAATTAGTTCATACAAGTTTATTATTACTATGAAATTACCATGAGGAATTTTAAATAGGAATTAAGTCCTGTTGAAAAGCTTAGTATATGAAAATCTTGATTATTTCTTGCCAAGTAAGATCAGTGGGATGAAGGCCATTTTAGTTTTGGAGGAACTACATTTATTTTAAATCTAAACTAACAAGCACATTTTGAGGTGTTCAGTTCTTTGATTTTCATTATAAACAAAGCCCCTGAATTAATAGAATATCACTGCATTCATGGGATACAATGCTTTGATGATGTTGCACAGGGTTGTTTTTGCCAATTAATTTATTGTTTTGTAATGGATATAAAAACAGCTATCAATATGATGTTTTGTTGTTGAGCATTCCTTAAGTGGAAATTAATTTCTTCTATTTAAGTAGAGTTAAAGTTATTTAGACAGAAGTGTTTCTCTGTCTCCAAGCTGGAGTCTTTTTCCATAGCCGCTATGAGCACAGAGGATGATAGACACATATTTAAAGTGAACCTCCTGAAAAGAAATTTTCATACATGTATAATGAAAGCAGGTTAGAGTGATACAGGAAAAGTAGTCCTGCCATGCAAAAGATGCCAGATGTCCTGGAAACACCCTCTGGAAGCTAGTGTCTACACAATTGTCAGTCAGGGAGACTGAATTCATAGTCTAGTGGGTTATAATTTACCTAGTGAATCCAATTTTATAATTATTTTAAAATTTCTTAAGATGATAACTTAAAGTTTAAGTGTCCCTCCCATACCATTACATCTTGGGGGCACTCCTAGAGTGGCCATTGAAAATAATAATATAGAAACTATTTTAGTTCAGGGCACTCAAAACTTAAGTCCAAATGGATCAAAGACCTCAACATAAACCCAGCCATATAGAACCTCTTAGAAGAGAATTGGGAGGTACCCTTGAACAAATTGGTACAGGAGACTGCTTCCTGAACATACTGACTACACTGACATAGACAATTAATAAATGGAACTTCCTAAAAGTGAGAAGATTTTGTAAGGCAAAGGAGATTCAACAAAACAGCAGCCCACAGAATGGGGAAAGTACGTCACCAACCCCACATCTGACAGAGGGCAGATCTCCAAAATATACAAAGGACTCAAGAAGCTAGTTACCAAAACACCAAATAACCCTATTAAAAGTGGGGTACAGACCTGAAGAGAATTCTCAATGGAGGAATATAAAATGGCTGAAAAAACTTTAAAAGTGCTCAACATCCTTAGCCATTAGAGAAATGCAAATCAAAACAACTCTGAGATACTATCTTACTTCTGTCAGAATGGCTAAAATAAAAAGCACCAAAGACAGTTTATGCTGGAGAGGATGCAGAGAAAGGGGTACACTCCTTCAGTGTTAGTGGGAGTGCAAACGTGTGCAGGCACCTTGGAAAACAGTATGGTGGTTCCTCTGGAAAATGGAAATTAGTCAACTTCAAGATTCAGTAATTCCATTCTTAGGAATATACCCGAAAGATGCACATTCATATAAAAAGACATCTGTTCAACTATGTTCATAGCAGCATTATTTGTAATAGTCAGAACCTGGAAGTAACCTAAATGCCCTTCAACTGAAGAATGGATGGAGAAAATGTGGTACATTTGCAAAGTGGAGTACTACTCTGATGGGAGATGTCATTCTATAAATATGTTTCTCATACTGGTTAATGAATAAAGCACTGTTGGCCAATAGGAAAGCAAGACAGGTGGGACTAGGAGGAAAGAGGAAGTTGTAAAGAGGAGCCAACATGGAGAAACTTGGGAGAGCACAATGACAGCCCATTCCCCGGTAAGATGAAACCAGGTGGAAATACTTAGATTAACAGAAATGGGTTAATAATTAAGACAGGGCTAGCGGATAAGAAACTAGTACCTGGCCAACAGCATTATATCAAATACAGCATCTCTGTGCATTATTTGGGGCTGGTGTGGCAGCAGGACAAGACCTACTCCTTACACTACTCAGTAGAAAAACACAATGAAATCCTGAAACTTGCAGGGAAATGGATGGAACTAGAAGAAACCATCCTGAGTGAGATAACCCAGTCACAAAAAGACAAACAGTATATACTCAAAGCAAAGGACTATCAGCCTACATTTATCACCATCAGAAAAGCTAGGAAACAAGGAGGACAGTAAAAGAGACATACATGGTCCCTCAGAGAAGGAGAAAGGGACACATCTCTTGAGCAAATTGAGAGCATGGAGGGAGGGGAGAGGGAGTTAGGAGAAAGAGAAGGAAGAAGAGGAGGGGGGGAGGTGGGCATGAAGGAACAGGAAGATTGAGACAGGAAAAGAATAGAGGAGAACAAGAAAAGAGATACAATAATAGAGGCAAATTTAAGGAGAAATCTGGCACTAGGGAAATGTCCAGAGATCTACAAGGATTAACGCAACTAACAATCTAAACAATAGTGCAGAGACTACCTTTAATGCCTTTCAACAATAATAAGATTGATGACTACCTTATATGCCATCCCCGAGCCTTCATCTAGTAGCTGATAGAAGCAGAAGCAGAGACCCACAGCTAAACACTGAGCCGAACTCCTGGAATTCTGTTGCAAAGAGGGAGGAGTGATGGGCAAACCCACAGAATCAGCTCACCTGAACAAGGGGGAGCTCATGCACCCCAGTCTGATATCTGGACAATTGGTATAGGACTGACCCAGACACCCTGAATGTGGGTGTTAGTTAGGAGGACTGGGCATTCTATGGGGCCTCTAGTAATGGATGAGTATTTATCCCTAGTATACAATGGACTTTGGGAGCCCATCCCACATAGAGAGATACTTTCTCAGTCTAGACACATGGGGTAGGACCTAGGCCCTGCTCCAACTTGTATGACAGTCTATGAAGATTCCCCATGGAAGGCTTCACCCTCCCTGGGGAGAAGAAAGGGAATGGGCTAGGGTTTCGGGGTTCTAAGGGAGGATGGGAGGGTGAGGGAACTGGGAGTGACGTGTAAAACAACCTTGTTTCAAATTTAAATGAAAAAAACAAAAAATAACTATTTATTTTGTGACAAGCCATATTAAAAATTGTTTCTGTGGTCCTATCACAGGGAGTGTCTGTGTGGCTATTCATGACCCATGTTGTCATCAAAAGTCACAATGATGCACAGTGTCTGCGCTGCCACTGGTAGCCATATAGCTGTTCCAAAGCCATGCCTCCACTGGAGCCATGCTGAGGTGGATAGTGATGCCCTCAGGGGGGATGATGTCATCCAGGCCTGAGTTGCTGCTGAGGGCCATGTCTAGGTCTGTGACTCTTTAGCCAGAGTCTGAGTCAATGTCTGTGGCTACAGTTATAACTGAGGGCCATGTGGTTGCCTGGGGTTTGATTAGCAGCCTGGGACCATGTTGTTGTGCAAGGGTCATGATGCATCTGGAGCCATACATAGCTAAATGGCATATACTACTATCTAGTGCCATCGTGATGTCCAGACAAGAGCTGAGGCTGGTGGCCATGTCTGGATATGTGGCTGTACTTAAACCAAAATCTGAGTTGATGTCTGTGTCTCCTGTTGCCACAAGGACCATGCATATTTCCAGGGTCTAGGCTGCCACCATAGACGTGTTGGTGTCCAAGGGCCATGCTGCTATTGGGGCCATACAAATCTGGATGGCCTGCACTGCTGCCTGGGGTCATGGTGGCATCAAAGCCCAAGCTGTTGCCTAGGGTTATGTCAGGATCCGTGGTCTTACTGCAGCCAAGGTCTGTGTTGAAATCCATGACTTATGCTGCCACCAGACGCCAGGTAAAGACCTGGGGTCTGGGCTCAACTTGTGGTCTTTCTGGAGTCTGGGGACCCTGCTTTAGTCAGGGCCATGCAGAACTGAGTGCCTGTGTTCCCACCTGGGGCCATGGTATCATCAAGGCTTCGGCTGCTGCTGAAGTCACATGTCTGAATCTGTAGTCTTATAGCAGCCAAATTGTGTATGATGTACATGGCTCATGCTGACACATGGGTCATTCAGATTCCAGGCTCTTGCCCTGCACCTGGGGCTGTGTTGGTGTGTGAGAGCCACACTGCTGCTAGGGCTATGCCAACCTTGATGGCTTGCACCATCACTTGGAGACAATGATGATGTCTAGACACGGGCTGCTGCCAAGAACCCTGTCTGGTTCCATGGTTTTAAAGCAGCACATGTCTGCATTGAAGTTCATAGCCCAGGTTGCCAGCTAGGGCCATGTGTATACCCAGAGTCAGGTCAATTACCTGAATCCATGTTGGTTGAGGGCATGCTACAGCCAGGGTCATGCAGGTTTGAGTGGCTGAATCTGTTACTAGACCCACTGGTGAATTCCGTGTCAGAGCTGTAGCTGAAGGCCATGTCTGGGTCCATGTGCCTACTGCAGTCAGGGTCTATGTTGATGTTTGAGGTTCCTGTTACCATAGATGGCCATGTGGATGCCCAAGATGTGGGGCCAATTAGTGTCTGAGAGCCATGTTGCCGCTGGGCTATGCAGATCTGAGTTGCCTGCATTGACACCTGGGGCAAAGGTGACATCCAGACCTGGCTACTGCTGAGGGATATGTCCTACCCTGCAGCCAGGGTCTTTGTTGAAGTTCCAGGCCCATGTTGCCACCAAAGGTTACATGAAAACTTGGGGTCCAGGTCACAACCTGTGGCCTTTTTGGTGTCCGGGTCCATGCTGCCACCGTTGCTTATCTGAATGGTCTGCGCTTCTACCTAGAGTCGGGATATTGTTTAGGTGATAACTGCTGCCATGAGCCATGTCTGGGTCCAAGATCTTGTGGCACTTGGGGTCTATGTTGATGTCTGTGTCTCATGTTACCACTGGGAGCCATAGGACCTATTCATAGTGATATCAGAGGGCCATGCTGAGTCTGTACTGCTCTTCACTGACTTTGACATAGCTGACTTTGTCCCTTGATGGACATTTCAGCAAGAGAGCTGGACACTCAGACTCTGGAGAGATGGTCCCACCTCACATCAGAGAGACTCTGATGTCATGGGCTTGGGGAAGCTAGCTTCTTCTCTTGCCTGGGAGGGGGCTTGTTTTGCTTTTGGTTTTGTCTGAATGCTTGTTTATTTTGTTTTGGATTGGTCTGATTATTTTAAATGTTCTTTTAAGGGGGATACTACAGAGGTCAGGGGATGATATGTGCGGACCAGGAGGTGAATGGAATTAGGTTGTATGATGTGAAGTTCCCAAAGATTCAATAAAGAAATTATGTTAAATTAAAATCTTTTTTCAAGGGAGAAGAAGATAGGAGCAGGGAGGAAAACAAGAGGGATCAGGAAGACTGGGTCAGGGAAGGAATGGAAGAGAGCAAGAGAAAGCCTTGATAGTGGGAGCCAATATAGATTTAAAGAGATATTTAGCACTGGGGAAATGTTCAGAGATTCACAAAGATGACCTCAACTAAGAATCTAGGCAATGATGGAGTGGCAGATTTTGATGCCTTTCTCTTATGAGACTGATGACTACCTTAATTGCCATCCTAGAGCCTTCATCCAGTAGCTGATGGAAGCAGAAATATTAATTCACAGCTAAGCACTGAGCCATACTCCTGGAATCCAGTTACAGAGAGTAATCCAGTTACAGAGAGTCAAGACTGAGCTGGAGAAACCTACAGAAGCATCTGATCTGACCTACTGAGAGCACAAGAACCCCAGTGGTAAAGCTGGGGAACCAACATTGGTCTGAGCCTAGCCCTCTGAATGTGGGTGCCAGTTAGGAAGCCTGGGCAGTCTATGAGACCTCTAACAGTGCACAAATGAACTTTGGAAGCCCATTCCCTGTGGAGGGATACTATTTCAGCCCAGATACACAGAGGAGGGCCTAGGCCCTCCCCCAAATGATGTGACAGACTTTGATGATCTCCCATGGAGGGCCTCACTTTCCTTGAAGACATGTGGAGTGTGTATTGGGAGGTTGGTGGGATCATGGGAGGATGGGAAGGAGAGGGAATAAAGGGATTGATATGTAAGATGGTTGTTTCTAAATAAAAAAAATTTCAAGAAATCAACATAATTTTCTTCCTGAAATTTATAACTGAAGACATGGGTAATGATGACAAATTGGTAATAAAATTGTGATTCATTCACTAACCTGCTCATTGATTTGTTCTTCTGGTCAGTGTAGTAACATTTTTTCCTGAAAAAAAATTATAGTCATCTGAATCAAATACATTTAATCAGAAAGTGACTGTATTCAACCATAACGTGTATCAATACTCCATTTTCAAATACTTAGGAGAACAAGACAATTGAAAGTAAGCCATTATATTATAACATGAAGAGCAATAAATGTATATGCCTTTAATTTCAGAAATATGATGATAATTTAACAAAAGTATATAAGAAATATAACAAAATAACTGTAAAATGCATAGGTTATATTTTGATACCTTGTTTTTAATTATTTGAAAATCTGTTGTGTAACTCAGTATTTATTAACTGGATTATTAGTTTATATGCTACATAAAGAAATCAATCCAATCATCTACCTATCCATCTGTCATTTAAACTCATGTGTAATTGTCCTATTTGGTTCTCTGTTATCATGATAAAAACACTGAGCAAATAGTAACCTGGGGAGAAAGGGTTCATTTAATCTTGTACTTCTATGAACTATTTCATCACTGAGGGAAATTGGGTCAAGAACTCAGGGCAGGAACCCACAGGCAAGAATTAAAACAGAGGAGAATGATAAACACTGCTTAGTGGCTTGCTTCCTCCAGCTTGCTCCTATTGCTTTCTTATACAAATCTGTAGCACCTGCCCAGTTATGACACTGCCTACATTGGGCTTGGTCCCTCACACATTAGTCATTAATCAAGAAAATAATCCACAAAAATGCCCACAGGCTGATCTGGTAGATTTTCAATGGATAATTATGAATGCAGAGGTCATGGTATTAGTGTTCAGGCCTGACATTTACAACCCTCTATCTAGGGCTCAGGGAACATCATGGAAGTGGAGTCATGAACAATGCTAAGAGTCAGATGATGGGGGGGGAAGGCTATTAAATGCTATCTTCTGGGTCTGGGGCAGTTATTGCAATCGTGAATGTAGCTATGGTTGCATGAACTAAGTCTTCATAAGACTAAATCTGTCAACATTTACTCATAGATATGGAAAGATTGATGGGGCCCTACCCATCCCTAGGGAATTTTTGGCTATTGATTAATGCTGGAAAAGTAGCAGTTTTTGTCTTCAGTTATACACCCCTTGATGAGATTACCAGTGGATAGTTCCAGACCCATGGCCATGAATGTTGGAAAGAGATTTGTAAAAAAAAAAAAAAAAAAAAAAAAAGAAGTGTAACACACTTGGTTTCAGAGATGCCAACTGTATATCTTCTCATTGGAGCTCAGGAATCTCATACTTTGAGCTTTTCAAAATGCCCTTTTATCTTTATCATTAAAACACACCTCAGAGGCTCAGTGAACACTGTGTTGGTATAAATTATAATTAATCATCAGTTATGAGGGAGGTATGAATGTTCAAGAAGCTCTCTGAGATGCCATATTTAATTTTAGTAACAGGTTGTGATGGTCTATCTTGCTTGTCACCTTGACAGGATCAGGAATCAATTAAGAGACAAACTCTTCTGCACTCCTGTGATGGAATTTCTTTACCAGGTTTTTAACATGGTTTGCCCCACCATAGATGTGAGTGGCCCTTTGCCTGGCAGCACAAACAAACGGAGATAAAAGAATGAAGCTTTGTTTTGTCTTCACCTCCTTGCTGGCAAGTTCATCAGTGCTGTTACTGCTGCTGCTGCTACTCTCACCATACACAGACATCAGAACCCTTCAAGCTGTGGATGTGGAATGAATACCAGTGGTTCTGCATGAATCTGGCATGCCTAAAGCACCAGATTGGGACTGCTGAGACACCCTGCCCTGTGAGCCCAGGTTCCCATCCTCTTCAGTGTGTGACAATTGTTGTTGGACCGCACAGACTGTATCATGGAAGCAAATCTAGAAAATATCCTTTACATATATTCATGACTGACTGTGTTTCTCCCAGAGTAAAACACAGGCCTTAGCCTTTGGATAGATTTTAAAATGTTCTTGCCATATTCCAACACTAAATTCAGATATAAAATTTCAAGCTTGCTTTGTCTATACTAAATTTGCATTTTTAAATATCTTTATTTTTGTCAAACATAGGCAAAAGTTTAAAAGGCATGCATATATTTGCAGTGATTTGAAATTTGCAGGCCCTGTTTCTCCTTTTTTTTTTAATAAAGCACTAAATGTTTACTTATGTATACATTGCTATGTATGTAAGCATGTGGATGCTATGACACTCATATGGAGGTTAGAGGGATGTTCTTTCTTTCCACTAGAGGTCAGACTCAGATTCTCAGGTTCAGCATCCAGTACCTTTATCCCCTGAGCCATCTTGCTGACCCACATGTTAGGTTTTCTTTGTGGAATGTAATAGGTTTCAAAAGTAATATTTTCATTGATAATTTAGAATGAATAATTCATTCAATAATAAAAATCTTGTTTTTTAAAATGTTATGCAATTTTGCTAATTAAGATAACGATGATGATTTTACACAGTAGTCAGTTTCTGTCCTAAAGGAATTAGTTCCAATAATTTCTTAATATGTAGTACTGCATAGATATACAAAGTTATGAAAAATGGCATAGTATTTATATCTAACTTCAGACATCCTTATGTACATATAAAACCATTTCTAGATAACTTAAATACCTAAAATAATGGGGTTTTATGTAAATAATGTTTAGTTGCTTATTTCTGCACAATGACTGAGGTTGCAACTTTTGAGGCTTGAGATATTTCAGATGTCTTGAAGACATTTGCATTGGCATCCCTTCTTTATCTTGAATGATCTTGAGGCTTGTTCCATGGAATCTTCACAAATTTTTTTTAATTGACCTCAGTGTTCACTTACACTTACTAAGGCACTTTTACTTGCAATTTCATTTTCTCAGAACCTTTTACTCCTTTGTAGCATATAATGGGATCTATTGAACTCCACATTGATGCAAATACTCTTACTGTCTATTGAGTTAACACTCAGCGTAAAATATGTACACTATAAAAATTACAGTGGGACATGATGGAGGAGTTGGTACATTCTACATTGAATACTAGACATACTAGTTAGGCCAACACATTAATTTTCTCAAAAAAGGACTGAAAATTCTTGAAAGAAGGTGATCTATTTTTATTGCCTATTGATTGATATTGAGGCAAGAGCACAGAAACTGTTCTGGATGACCTGGTCTGAAAAACAATTCTTGACAACCATTATCAGTGTTATATTACTCTCACATGAAATAAGAATGAGGATTGATCTTTGGAGTTGCTTAAAGTTGAAATCTAAAAATAATTGTTAACATCTCCATGCAAGTCTGCATTGAAATGATATTACATGTTCAGGGAATCAGAAAACTTACCACATTAGTAAAACTATTTAGGTGAAAATTGCCTAATATAGCCTAAAATTTAAAAGGGAAATAATCTTCTCTGAATAAAGAACCACATTTATTGATGTTAGGTATTACAAAAGATGGTGCCATCCTAATAATATTGAGAGAAAATGAAATAATATCTAAAAGTACCTGAAAGGCACCCTGATGTTCAATCTCTCTGCATACTTGCACAGTGTGTCCCATGGAATATGAATTTTGATAAACATGATATCAGGGTTTGCAACAGCTGGCTGAAAAGGAATAATAGAGAAGTACCATTATTTACCATCAGAACTGATGACATTCTGCCATAACATTTCTTTCAAAGAAAGAAGCATTCTTTCCGTGCTTATGCAAGGGTCATTCTTACTTACATAAAGGAAAATTATATTCTCAAAAACTCTTGCTAAAAAGTATTTAAAATATTAGCTGCCATTAAGAAATGTAATGTGTATACTTTTACATAAACATCCTAAATACAAAAGTGTCCATAAGTAGTTTGTAGGGAAATATCTTCAGTTGGTTAGAAACCCCGGTGGGCTTCCATAAAGAAAGCTCTTCATTACAAACGTGGCCTGTGGTAACACAAAGTCAGAATACTCACACAGAACATGATGAATCCCCTGGAAAGAAACTTGTGAGGCATGACTAGGCATTGTGTTTATCTCTGCCTATATAAAAGAACCTTATTGCTTACACTTCTCGTCATCAAATCAACAATAAGTTTCTCTTTTCACTCCCCTCTACATATGCTCCCAGTCATAGTTGCTTATCAAGTACAAGGATTGGTAAGCCCTAGCTCAGTTACTGTAGGAAATAGACATTGCTGTCATTACTTATTTTTTTTTATGTTGATCACTATTAAAAAGTAGATTTCCCATTCAGAGAAGTTATAAGACAACTAAGAGTCTCAAGTTATTCTTTGTGTCAGATTATTAAGACCCTCATTTTCACTCAGAGAGTGCATAAAACACTAAAAATTATTGAAAGAAGTCTCTAACTAATTAATCTATTAATTCTACTGGCACACTTTTAAAGTAACTGTTGAATCCTCCAACTTTTTGCTGGGTTCAGTGATTTTATTCTGGGGAAACTGAGGTGTTTAAATGATAAGATGCCTTTGGCACAATGGACTGTGAGATTTATAAGCTTAATGAAGGAATAGAATTCAGCAAATTACCACAGGAAAAACAATGAAAGACACTTTCATGCCAGCATAATTTCTGAAGCACCCTTTCTGCTTAAAATGTTTGTTTCTATTTAAAGGTAAAATATTGTGAAAATTATAATCGACCATGCCACAGGTAGACATAGTATGTTAAGTTTTTGTAGATCCTTAAATTTAGTCCAACATTAAATATTTTACCTATGCTTGGGAAAATGTCTATAAATCTTGTTATTTTTTGAGAATTTCATGCATTTATAAAATGTCTAACACTTGTTTCCTCACCAAACTTTTATGGCACCCCCTCTCCTCTCAAATTCATGGCCTTTTCTCTTATTTAATTATGATAATTACACACACACACACACACACCTGTGAATCTATTAGTGTTGATAACTAATTTTACAAGCACTGCTTATTCATTCAAAAAACTACTTAATTATATTTATAATCCACAGATACCTTGTCATTGATCAAGATAAAAGAGAAGGTTGTAATGATAATATTGCCAGGCTCTTTGTAATGACTCTTCTAGACTTAATGGAAAGGTTTCTATGTAAGTATGACAGGAATAATAAAAACTTTTGCAGCTAGATCTCCCATAGAAATAATGAGAGCATGGTTAGCATGTTCCAGATCTGTATTTGAACCTCAGAACCACTCTGATTCTGATTATTTTGCCTGAGAAATGAAGGGTGTTTGTCTCTGAGTTGAAGGAGGGAATATACAGTGTAACTATATGAAGTGCCTATTCCTGACTGGGTCTGGTTGTCAGATGACAGTATTCATCTCAAATCAGATGGTGTTTAAAACAAAGGTGAATTATAAAATATTCTGTGGTTCATGTCTTGTTTGCTCCTCTGTTTCCTTTGTGATCGACCTTGTATCTTGGTGTTAATACCTTTGACTCTAGGATATGTGGACAATTTACTATTTGTAAACAAAGGCAAAATGAAAAATGAAAAGCAAAAAAAAAAAAAATCCAAAACAAAACAGAAACAAAAATAAAAAACTACACCAAGGCCTCTAATGTACTGTGTGACTTGAATCAAGATGTCGTCATCCCAACAGCTAAGTATTTTTCTCTGGTATTGTACGTTGAATATAAACTATAAAAATTAAAATATATTCATATAAATGTTAAGTTTGGAGAAGAGATTTACCTTAATTCACAGCCACTATTTAAAAATGGTCCTATCCATAGACAGTCTACCACTGCTGTCTCATTCATACCACTTTCATTACTCACTCATACTTCCTATCTTTGTCCCATGTCACTTTCTTCCCATTCCTTTAGTGGTCTCCCTTCTATTGTGTGCTACAAGAGAAGACATGGCATGTATATCTATGCATTTAATCCTGTGTATTATTCACTGATAACGCACTGAAAGGATGAATGAGGTAACTTTCATTTTATTTACTACTGCCATTATCATTATTTTGTTATTATTAATATGCCCCATTATTTTCAGATATAATCTTACTAGGTAGTGTGAATTTGTTTGGAACTGTTTGTGTATACTCAGCAGAGATTTCTGAGAACTGAGACTCAAAATAATTTAGCCTGGTGAGCTGAATTATTTTGAGTCTACATTTTGCCTAACATACCTGAACAAGAAATATGAAAGCGGGAAGTGCAAAGAGTCTGACTTTCTGTGGTGGGGCATTATGTCAGGATCCAAAATAGCACTGAGAACAGCTTGCCTCTTGCAGGTCCTTAATTTATCGCCATCAAGCTCGTGATATAAAATAATCTAATCATCAAAAATAAGGGCTGCTTTGGAAGGAGGGGGTTTTGCATTGCTGTAACTATCATCACTGAGTAACTCGTCAGGCTAAGTGCACACAGCTAGAATGTGGCTAGAATGTGTCTCATTTCCTTGCCTTAGCTTTCAATGCATACATACTGAAAGATCATTTTAAGCAAGATGAACTGATGCTTTTTATAACTTCTCAACTCAATTTCTCTTTTGTTTTGCCACCACTTGAAAACACAGGACAGCTGGTTTCGTTCTTGGCAGGTACCAGGTGAGGTGATGCTATTGGTGACAGGATGGTGCTGTCAGGGAGAAAGATCACCTTCCATTTTAGAAGCACAAGCTGGCAATCGGGGTCTATTCAGCTCACCTCTACTAAAAGCAAGCTTCTCAGAGGAACAAAACACCCACAACCTTCACACTTCTCATTATTATTTAATTATTCCACCCAAAATTACCAAGGGGAAGAACATTTACTCCCAGGTAAAGAGGGAGCTTAAAAATTATATTTTGCATTACTGGGATACAGAACAAAGAAAAGAATACGTGGTCTCTCAAGGCATTTTCCATGTCTAGGAGTAAGGCAAATGCTGCTATGAATTAGATTCCAAGACACAAATCTCACAGTCAAATTCTGTACACAAAGATGGCCCTCAAATACAGACACAGTCACAAATTCTGTACACAAAGATGGCCCTCAAATACACACTATCTCCTGGTGATGCTTTCCTCTAGAAACTGTTCATATTGTCATGCAATTTAATGACCATCTGAGATTTCTGCTAGAGTCAGGGTTTTGCTCTGAGGAATATCCATTTATAAAACAAAGACAGATTTTCTAACTGCCACATTTTAACTATCATATTCATGCCTTGCACATTTTCACAAAACTGTTTATCCTTCTATCAAGGACAAGCCCTAAATATGTTCAACCTAGTTATTTATCAAATAAAATCGCACCCACCATTCATAACATTCAATAGGAGAAGCTTTGAATGCTAATTAATGTTTTAAATAGTCATAATGCTGAAAAAATTAGGGGTGAGTGCTGGTCACTGAACTAACATCCTTGAACACTCCAAGCATGTAAGGGCTCTACCACTGATCTATTTCTCTAACCTTGAAACACTGGACTTGATATTTCAGAGAGCTATGAGTATTTTCACATCAATGACTCTTGACATTTTATTTAAAAATATACTAAGGTTATATTCTATCATATAAGCCTCTTGCTTAGCAGGAGAATGCAAAAAGCTGTTTGTTTGTTTTAATATTAGTGATGAGGACAGGGCTCTCATAATCTCTATTCTTTACTGTGAATGTGTATATGACACTCCACAACTATATTATTATGTTATGTGCTTCATTTGATATCTTTAAAAAGAGGGCAGATTATTCTCCATGGGTTATGAGTCCATAAGAGGGATTAATCTCTTCCTGCCAAGACAGACTGCAAATAGCATTAGGAAGCAGGTAAAATACTTCAGTGGAGTTTGCAGAGTAGATTTGTAGCAATGAAGATGCCCTCTAAAGCCTGAAAGTTAGTAAAGGCACCCAGTCCTCAGGAACTGAAGTTGTGTCACAACCTTGAAAGCTTCAGAGAGTTCCAAGGTCCAGGCACAAAACATCCTGGACATACCCTGATTTATGGTGATTTATGTTCTGTAGACAAACTGAGCAAACAACTCAACCCTTTCATATCCAACTTCTCAACTGGAAAATTCTGAGTAAACAAAATGGGTTTTATTTTAAAATGTCAAATTTTTGATAACTTGTTAATCATCGTTAGAAGACTAAAACAAAGAATTTCAAGAAGTCTTGATTATTTTGAATCAATATATATGCTTTATGACATAATACCAGAATGCTTGTTTTAGACAAATATTTCTGTTTATTCATAATCTATTTATCATAACAGATTTATTTATACATGAAACCATAAATAATAAATAAACCCCTAGTAAAATAAATATAAAAACTTTTATCATTACTAAAATTAGGATCATGAGTCCTTTGTGAAAATACCTATAACAGGTAAAATAATTTTTTTTGTAAAATTAAATTTAAAATAAAAGTGAGGGGGCTGACAAGATGATCAGTGGGTAAATATGCTCATGGCCAAGCCTGATGACATGAGTTTCTTCCCTGGGTTCATATATTAGAAAGAGATAAGATATTTCTGCAATTTCCCTTTGAGCTCTTCATGTGTGGAGGTAGATAATTGTGGTGCACACCCCCACACAGAGGCATAACTAAACGTATACATAATAAACAGATAAGAGCAATAAAAATATATAACTTAAGGATATTCTGCTTCCTGGATATTGTATAATCTTTGCCTTTACTCTTTCCTAAAGTCATTTCTTAAATTATTATTTTGGAAACTTTAATAATCATACCATTTTCCTTGTTTCCCTGGTGCCTCTTTTTCTTCTTGTCTCCTTTCTCTGATTTATTTCTTTCCATTCCCTTCCTCTATGGTTTCATTCCCCTTACTTATAGCCATTAAGACATCCTATCTCAAAAAGAAATAAGTAAAAAGGTGAAAGGAAACAGGGACAGCAATCTCAATGGAGTACCCTCCGCCCCTGGTGTTTTTTTTCACCTCCCACACAGGCAATCACTAGGTGAGTGACCTGGGCTTATTTTCCAAGATCTACTCTGGCTAGTCTGCTTCATCATAGACTGCTTGCTAGCAAAGAGTGTACATCTATCTTCTCAGAGAAGTCATGCTTACTGCTTTCCCTAAAGACCTCCATATCCTCCAATGCACAAATCTCTTTCTGATCTTGAACTTCCCCACAGTGTGTTTTCCTATGACCAGATCTTCCATGAGACACTTGAGTTTACCCCAGATGATGTCTGTTCTCTTCTCCCATCATTCTGTAGGACTATTTCTTTTCTTTATATTCATTTTTATTATCCCTACTACCCCCTTTTCAGGACATAGTTGATGCTATCATTAGTATTTTAGGTCCTTGAAGACAGATTGTAACTCCTGAGGTGCCTGCCTTTGTTGACTGTGCAACTACTAGATTTCTCAGCCTCTCTAGTTTGCAAATAGCCATTTTTGGATTATTAACTGTGTAAGCCAATCTAATAAGTACATTCTATAATATGTACTCATTCCAGTTTGGTTCTCTAGAGAACACCAACTAATGGAGACTCCTTTTCAGTCAATTTATTTTCTTTCAGTTTATACATAGCACAAATTCAGTCACATTCCTTATATAACATCACCATCACCTTGTTTGAATCATTGTATGAGCATGAAAGTTCATAATAAAAATCTTTTATGTGTAGCTAATATCTAGTAAGACAACTAACACATCCCCTCTCTATATTCTGTCTCCTTTCATCTTCATATTTCTTTGCTCCCCACCCTGGTTTTTCTCCTCTTTTGGAAATACAAGCAGAGTTTCTTATTGTTATCCAGATCAAATTTAAATAGGCATTAACAGAGAGAAACATATAAAAACATTCACCTTAGCTTTAACACTAGTAATATGAATTCTGGAGGAATGGTTTGCCCCTAATAATTTTCACTATCACTATCATCTTCAACAACCTTGTGACAGGGGACACTAGAGAGGAACCAATAGTAATGGTGCAACAATTATAGTGTGCAGAGGTAGCAGGTCCAAAGATAGAGACAATTAGTTTATTTCACCCACTGACCCAGCTTTCCTAGCTCTTTAATGTGTGAATTCAGCCTTAGAAAAGTTAGAGTGACTTGAGAAAACGATAATTATGCAACCTAGAATGGAATAGTAGGAATGATAGGAATCAGAGGGCTCAATCTTGCTGTGTGCCAATCTAAACAGATACACTGAGAATAAAGAAACATCCCTTTTTTCTTTCCCCCCCCCCCCCCCCCCCCCCCCCCCCCCCCCCCCCCCCCCCCCTCCCCCCCCCCCCCCCCCCCCCCCCCCCCCCCCCCCCCCCCCCCCCCGGGGCGCGGGCCCTTTTTTTTTGGGGTTCCCTTCACCCCAATGCACCATTAAATATTTTTCTTTGTAGTATTCAGAGGAATAAAGAAGAAACCCAGCAAATCTGACCTTTTGTCAAGAAGACCCCCATATAGTAGAGAGAAGCATTGGTCACATCTGCTATGATACCTAGTATGTATGTCTGGTCTCTCTATAGGCGAGTATAAATCAGTGCACACAGTGATTTGGCCACTTTAAATATTGGGCTCCCTAGAAACTCGCTCAGTGTTAGTAAAAATCAATTTGTGAAGTAATGGGGGAAGATATGTGAGCAGGATGACTGCCAGAGTACAACAGAACCTGGGTATGCACTGCTCCGGTGCAGTTAGGAAGCATTTGCTCTCACTTGTGTGCAGTAGAAAGCACAGGGAAATCAAATGAATAGGTACACTCTATTTTTTTCAATAAATATCTTTTGATATGTTTAATAACCAGGGGTAGAATCCAAGGAAAAGCAAAACAAAATTGGAAAAAAGGTTAAAATCAGAGTTTCATTTCCCCATTCTGTGTCATTTGGCAGTAAACAATACAGTTTTACTCATTGCTAACTCATTGTATTTCTATTTTGTACATATTTAGCCAGGTGGTGGTGGCAAATGCCCTTAGTGCCAGCTCTTGGGAGGCAAAGATAGGTGGGTCTCAGTGAGTTCCAGGCCAGCCTGGTCTACAAAGGAAGTTCCAGGACAGCCAGTTACACAGAGAAACCATCTTGGAAAACCAAAAACCAAAACCCAAAACCAAAAACCAAGAAAAAAAAATTGAATTAGTACAATTAAAATCAGTTGTTTTAGGGACACATTGGATAATAGTTTAGTACTCCTTAATATGTATTACTCTAAAATTTAATTATAAGACAGGTTTGAGAATGAAAAATTAAAGGGATGACTAAACTCCTATTTTTGATATTCTGCAGAGTCAAAGAGCTGAGTTGGTTGCAGTAATTTGTTTATGTGCATAAAACACACCGAGAGGCAGCTAGCAGGAAACCAGCTGATAGGAAGTTCTGAAAAGAAAAAGAGATTTATTTGGCTAGCAATGTGAACCTTGGCTTTTTATTTGTTTATTATTTATTTTAAATTAATGGTTTGTCTTTCTCTAATGTGATAAAATGTGATTTAGGAAAGAACCCCCAAGTAGTTATCAAATACCAAGTGGCAGCACTAAGATCATATGTATGTATACGTGTGTGTGTGTGTGTGTGTGTGTGTGTGTGTGTGTGTGTGTGTGTGTCTGTATAGGTTGCATTTATATATATATAGCAATGTGTGTTTGTATAACAGCAATTAAAGAAAAAGAGGCCATAGATCTGACACAGTGCAAGGGATGAATAAAGGGGGGTGCCTGGATGGAAGAAAGAGAAGGGGGGATATCATGTGATATATTATAATTTCAAAAAATAAAAAAAATAGTAAAGAGAGAGTAATGGTGCAATTCAATTTAAGGCTGAAAACTTAGCCTAAAAATACTGCTGTCTCTGATACCTGCTTTCAAAGATTTTGAAAGCTCAAACAATTGTGTTTTAATTGCTATTTTAAGATCTCACAGTGCTTTTCATGTGCCTATTTCAAAATTGTTTAGCTTTAGCTAGAGAGATGCCTCAGTGATTAAGAAAAGTTTTTGCTGTTTTGAAGGACCAGAGTTCCATTTCCAGCACCAATGTTCAGTGGCTTACCACTGCTGTGATTCCAGCCCCAAGGAATCCAATGCTCCTGACATCCAAGAACCCCTGCACTCGTGTGTACATACTCAAACACTAGTACTCATAGTAAAAACTCAATTGTATAGATGTTTAAAAAACAAATTAAACTATAGAGTATTCAACTAAAATAAAATTGGTAATTTTAGCATCTTAGAACTATGAAGAGTGTGTTTTTCTTTTTTTGTATGTTTCCAGAGGCTTTGATCCTTTTATTGTTTTAATAGAAGGAAGGAAATAGTACTTTAAAGAGACTTATATAAACACAAAAGAAAGAGGATGGTGAGGGACAGTGCCCATATTTCTAGCAGTCAAATTTGTACTTCAGCAGTCTGACAAACACTTTCAACACTTTAGTTTTCCTAACATGGGGTTTCATACTTTGTATAGGTATAATCATTATGTATTCAGTTTTCAAAATTGTACAAGTAGCCATACCCTTTGAAAAATTTTTAAAAAAATATTTACAATGTACAGAAACACATAGAAGAAAAAGTAAATACATATTGAAATGGAACAGTACATATGTATTAAAAAACACTTGGGAAAATGAGTACCTTTTATAAAGTTCCATGGAATGGATCATATATGCTACAATACAATAGTATCTATCCCAGATATTAGTTCAAAAAAACATATAATAGAAAAGCATTTACCTCCTTCTCCAACATCAAGCCTTCTGCTCTCAGGTTCTTTTCAAATGTATTTCTTTTGTCATATTGTATATTTGTCTTCCGATAAACCAGGATATAATCAATTCGCTTTTTGCCATCTTTAAATAAGAGTCCACTGGATGCTATGTAATTCATGTCATTCTGTTAAAGAAAAAAAGCTATTAGTGCATGTTAGATAAACATGCTTGCTAGTTATAGGCACTAACAAACTGATACCAAAAACAAAATATGTGATTCAGACTCCTACTGAAAACCATGAGAAGATAATTCAAGCTAGTCTGCAATTTACAATGGAAGACAGGCTAGCCTTGTAATTAGGTTTGTGATTTGATGGCTGGTCCTTGAATTGGTGTATGTTTTATTTAATAAGTCTCCGTAAAAATGCAGCTAGTTTATCTTCCATGCTGACTAAACCGTGTACAGATATAATTATTTTCCTACTTCATCTTGTTTATTCACAACTTACATTTCAAAGATAAAGACACCAAGGCTGAAAGTAATGAAACCAGCACCACATCTTGTGTTATTTTAGACTTACACAAATCTCTGCTTTTCTAAAGTGTTGTTCAATAATGCTGAGACCATACAATAATTCCTGCACTGCAATCTCTGGGAAATGTTTATGCTTAGGATATGTCTGTGAAGTGGTAGAAATAGTGCACCAATTCTAACTCATAGCTAACTCATCAAGACTGGGTAAAGATGTGAGGAGCTGGTTCAAATTGTAAAAAAGTTTACTAAGAAAGCCCCAGAAGCTGAGTGTGAATCTTCACCATCCATGTAAAAGCCAGGCACAGAAATACATCCATCCAGACCAGAGAATCTTCTGACTCTCAAGGGCCAGCTAGCTTGGCTAATGAATCAGCAAAGACAGTCTTTTTCAAACAAGGTGGTATTCTGTAGCACTCACATGCACTCCCTAAACCTACAAAGCAGTTTGAAGGATTTCATATTGCTGTTGCCAATATCAGAAGCTATTTTCATAAACTGGAAGATTTTCAGCTAGTCATTTTCCTTTAAGGATTTATCCTAAAATAACTTAGTCATGTTGAGATTCATCTTTTGTAGTACAGCTGGAGGCTATGTGGATGTTCATAGTCCTTGCTGCTACCTGAGACCATGTTGATGTCCATAATTTATGCTGAGGCATGTTGATATCCTTGGACCCTGCCGTGGCCAGAGACCATGATCAAGTCCATGATCCATGCTGTAAGTAGGAACGATATTGAGGTTCATCTTTTGTGGTGCATCAAGAGGCCATGTGGATGCCTGTGGTCCATGTAGCCATGGGAAACCATGTGAAATTCCATGATCTATGCTGTCATATGTTATGGGCATGGAAGTTTCTATTGCAATATTATCAATGACTCCAGACTCATAGTTGAAAATGAGACACATTGAGACTAGAAAGGAAGCCTCTGAAAAAACCAGGTACAAGTGAAACTCCCACAAATCTTCATGGATGACCCCAGATAAGATTTCTAGCAATATCAGATAGGTAGTCTCAACTGGCCATCTCCTGTAATCATATTGGTGACTATAGAGGAAAGTTTCTGCTCACCTTGTACTACAGTCATTCAGTCTCAAATAAACACACAGAAGCTTATATTAATTATAAAATATTTGGCTTATGGCTCAGGTTTCTTATTGGCTAGCTCCTTCTTAATTATTAACTCATTTCTATTAATCTGTGTATCTCCATATAGTCTTGGCTTACTGGTGATTTACAGGTTCTTTCTTCCTCAGCAGCTACATGGCATTTTCTTAACTCTACCAACTACCTTTCCCTATCCCTGTTTGGATTTTCTTTTGGGCTAAATTCTGCTTGTCCAGGCTGGGGAATCCCACAGAAGCAGCTGTCCTGAACAAGGAGGAGCTCAAGGACCCCAGACTGACATCTGGGAAACCAGCATAGGATCAAACAAGGTCCCCTGAATGTGGATGTCAGTTTGGAGGCCTTTGCAATCAATGGGACCCCTGGTAGTTTATCAGTATTCATCCCTAGTATAGGAATCGACTTTGGGAGCCCACTCCTTATAGAGAGATAATCTCTCAGCTTAGGCCTAGGCTCTGCCCCAAATGATGTGACAGATTTTGATGATCCCCCATGGAATGTCTCACCCTCCCTGAGGAGCAAAAAGGGGATGGAATGAGGGTTCAGTGGGGGACATGAGAGTGTGGGAGAGAGAGGGAACTGGGGTTGATATGTTTCAAATTTAAATAAAAATTATCTAAAAAAAAATTCCTGCCTGTCGAGACAAAAAAGTTTTATTCATCAAACAATAAAAGAAACATACATTCACAGCATACAGAAGGGCATTCCCTATCAGGTAACTACTTCAATTGTCATCAGAGACTTTCCATCCATAACTGATGGAAACAGATGCAGAGATCCATAGCCTAGCACTGGGCCAAACTCAGGGAATTCTGTTGAAGAGAGGGAGGAAGGATTGTATGAGCCAGAGGATGCTGAAATGTAGCTCATTGTATAACAAGGCTTCTGGTGGGTGGGTTTATTTGTGGGGAGGGTAGTGAAGGAGAGAAGGAGACTCTATTATCTTAAAGAGGTTGGTTACTGGGAGTTTGATCATGCTCCAATGAGTATCTGGGCAATACATATTGTTCTTGGTGTATTTTTTGGGGGGGGTTTAGGGGAAGGCACAGTTGTGGGAGTAATGAAAATAAGTGTGATTGGGGTACATTGTGTAAAATTCCCAAATAATAAATAAAAGTACTATGATGAAAAATATTTAACATCCTTTAGTGCTCTGAAATGCCCCTCCAACATCCCTCCCCCTTCTTAAAACACTACTAAGACTATATGGGTTTCTCCAGACTGGTCTTGACCCCCTTGCTCATCACTCCTCCCTCTCTGCAAATGTGTTCCAGGAGTTTGGCTCAGTGTTTAGCTGTGGGTGTCTGCTTCTGTTTCATCAGACACTAGATGAAGGATCTAGGATGGCATATATAGTATTTTTTGACAATATCTTTTATTTAAATTTACAACAAGCTTGTTTTACACGTCAATCCCACTTCCCTCACCCTCCCTACCTCCTATCTCCCCCTCCTAACCCCCAACCCATCCCATTTCTCCTCCCAAAGGAGGGTTAGGCCTCCCTTGGGGGGGTCTTCAAAGTTTGTCATATCATTTGGAGCAGGTCCTAGGCCCTCCCCCATGTTTCTAGGCTGAGAGAGTATCCCTCTATGGGGAATGGGCTCACAAGGTCTATTTGTATGCTATGGATAAATGTTGATCCACTACCAGAGGCCCTATAGACTGCCCAGTCCTCCTGACTAACACCCATATTCAGGGCTTCTGGGTCGGTCTTATGCTGGTTTTGCAGCAATCAGACTGGAGTCCATGAGCTCCCCTTTGTTCAAGTCAGCGGTTTTGTGGGTTTCTCATTCATATATGGATTTTAGACATAGAGCAAAGAATTACCAGCCTACAATCCACACTGCCAGAAAAGCTAGGGAACCAGGAGGACCCCAAGAGAAACATACATGGTTCCCCAGAGTAGGGAAAAGGGCAAGATCTCCTGAGCAAATGGGAAGCATGGGGGAGGGGAAAGGGAGAAGAGGAGAGAGGAAGGCATGAGGGAGTAGGAAAATTGAGTCAGGGAAAGAATAGAGGAGAGGAAGAAAAGAGATGCCATAATAGAGGGAGCCATTATAGGTATAAAGAGAAATTTGGCTCTAGGTAATTGTCTAGAGATCTACAAGGATGACCACAACTAACAATCTAAGCAATAGGTGTAGAGGCTACCTTAAATGCCCTTCCCTGATAATGAAATTGATGACAACCTTGTATGCCATTGTAGAGCCTTCATCTAGTCGCTGATGGAAGCAGAAGCAGACACCCACAACTAAACAAAAAACAAACAAACAAAAACAAAACAAAAAAAAAAAAAAAAAGGTTTTGTGTTCAGTTATATGTTGGTCAATTAACCCTGAAATAAGGCCTGTCCTGGAGTGGTTGGTATATCCAGTGTCACTCCATCTTTGATCTTTGATTTCCCAGCAGGTATAAGTGACCATTCAGTTGTTAACCTTTACCTAGTGGCCAGGTTTTCATTCTTTAATTTATACAATGATTTAATTTATTAATCAAAAATATATAACAATGATAAAATAGAATAAGATAAAACAAGAACTATCACCTCAGAGTTGGACAAGACATACATTAGTCAAACAAACAAGATTTACCAATGGAGATATTTTCCTGACAAGTTTATGAATTGTGCTTGTGCTGTACCATTCTTATGCCCCAGATTGCACAGAACAGCATGGCTTTGAACCCAGATATGCATTTTTTGCTAATATCCAACTGTCATCCATTCTCTATTGCCCCCCCACTACTTGGATGACAGTGTCTGCCTGTTATTTAGAATGCTAAGTACGCATTGTAGATATGCAGACAGTCTGCATAGCATCTTGGGGGGAGGGGCGCTAACATTTATTTAGATAAAAGCATATTGAACTACTACCAAGAGATGGGTTGGGACATATGTACAGCTCCGGTTGAAAGAACTGGGTGTTGGATAAAGTGAGGAAGTGATGTTCCATGCAGCTAAGAAGCAAGAAGTTATTTAGGTGAAGGCAGCAAAAGGAAGTGAACAAAAATATCACCCCATGTAAGGCCTCACCCTCCTTAGGGAGCAGAAAGGGAATGGGTTTGGGTTTGCTGGGGAGTGATAGGGGAAGAAGGGGGGAGGTAAGGGAACCGGGATTGATATGTAAAATAACCTTTTTTCAAATTTAAATTAAAAAAAAATATCACCCCACAACAACAAGTTATGTTTATCAGGATCCCTGGGATGCTCAAGCACAACAGTCTACTGTGTGAACTCAAATTCTAGAAACCTCTGAACTTAAGGACAAGAATATGTGGTACATAATCTTTTTTTAAATAATGAGTAGAAAATTAACAAGATTTCCAGTAATATTTTATTAAGTATCTTAACAGGACTATAGTGGTTGGTTTTAATGTCAGCTTGTAACAAATCAGTATCACCTATGCAGGGATCATCAACTGAGAAAATTTTCGGATATTTTTAGTTGATGTGGGAAGAACTTCTTAGTGTGTGGGTGGCACTTTCTTGTAGCAGTCTTTTAGAAAAGGCCATAGCAGATGAAGGATT